GCACTAACCCTGAGAAAATCACAATTCTAAAAGACACATGTACTCCAGCGTTCACTGCAGCACTATTTACACAATAGCCAGGACATGGAAGCAACCTAGATGTCCATCAACAGATGAATAGATAACGAGGTAGTATATATATACAATGGAATATTACTCAGCCATAAAAAAGAATGCATTTGAGTCATATCTAGTGAGCCAGATGAACCTAGCATCTATTATACAGAGTAAAGTAAGTCATAAAGAGAAAAACAAATATTGTATATTAATGCACAAATAGGGAATCTAGAAAAGTGATTTTGATTAACCTATTTGCAGGTAAGGAATGGAGACTCAGATGTAGAGAAGGGACTTGCGGATACAGTGAAAGAAGGAGAGTAGGATGAATGGAGAAAGTAGCAACATACATACACTATCATCTACTAAACAGATAGCTGATAAGAAGTTGCTAAGAACACAGGGAGTCCAGCCTGGCGCTTTGTGATGACCTAGAGGATGGGATGGCAGGAGGAGAGGAAGGCTTAAAAGAGGGGGTGTATGTATAATTAAGTCTGGTTTACGTCACTGTACTGCAGAAACCAACAAAACATTATAAAGCAATTTTCCTTCAAATAAAAAATAAATTAAAAAAAAAAGTCAATCTGAAAGGACAACATACATTTGTTATGGCTTCCCTGGTAGCTAGGCTGGTAAAGAATCTGCCTGGAATGCAGGAGACCCCAGTTTGATTCCTGGGTCAGTAAGATCCCCTGGAGAAGGGATAAGCTACCCACTCCAGTATTCCTGGACTTTCCTGGTGGCTCAGATGGTCCCCTGCAAAGCGGGGGTCTGGGTTTGATCCTTGGATCGGGAAGATCCCTTGGAGAAGGGAATAGCTACCCACTCCAGTGGACAGAGGAGCCTGGTGGGCCTCAGTCCATGGGGTCTCAAAGAGTTGGACACCACTGAGTGACTTTCACTTCACTTAACTTCATACATTTGTTAAAACCCACAAGATGCACAAACCAAGAGAGAACCCTATGTAAATTAGGGACTTCAGGTGATAATACTATGTCAATGTAGGTTCACTGATTATGATGATATATACCCACTCTGATAGAGGATGTTGATAATGGGAAGGTTATGCACATGTGAAGCAGAGCACGTATGGAAAATCTCTGCACCTTCTGTTCAATTTTGCTGTGAACATAGAAGTGTTCTAAAAATAAAGTCTACCTTAAAAAAAGGTCCATCCAGTCAAAGCTATGGTTTTTCCAGTAGTCATGTATGGATGTGAAAGTTGGACCATAAAGAAAGCTGAGCACCAAAGAATTGATAATTTCAAACTGTGGTGTTAGAGAAGACTCTTGAGAGTCCTGTGGACTACAAGGAGAACAAACCAGTCAATCCTAAAGGAAATCACCCTGAATATACACTGGAAGGACGGATGCTGAAGCTGAAGCTCCACTTTGGCCACCTGATGTGAAGAGTTGACTCATTGGAAAAGACCCTGATGCTGGGAAAGACTGAAGGCAGGAGAAGGGGATGACAGAGGATGAGATGTTGAGATGGCATCACTGACTCAATGGACATGAGTTTGAGTAAACTCTGGGAGATAGTGAAAGACAGCGAAGCCTGGCATGCTGCAGTTCATGGGGTCGCAAAGAGACAGCACAATTTAGTGACTGAACAACAACCTTGTTAAAAAAAAAAAGACGTGGAAGCCATAGTTCAAGCTAGTGTAGGAAAACAAAAGAGGGGAGTGAAGGGGAGGGGGTAGGAAGAAGGAGGAAGAAAGGTTAAGGGAAAAGGGAAAAAAAGGTACCTGACTCCAAGTTGAAAACAGCATGGTATAGCTACAGAAAGTGCTGATGCTATGTTAAATTGTATTATATAGTAAGTACTGTGTCCAGGGCAAGTAAGTGCACTCTCACTAATCAGATCTCTGCTGCTGCTAAGTTTATTCTCAGGTGTGGGCACTATTCTCTATAAGCAACACCAACAAGAGAACTTGTGACAGAAGAGAGAGAGACTACATATGAATATATTTCACCTAGGGAAGAGAAAGGTGATATATTAAAAACTGCTTTAAATATGTGAAGGGTCATCTTATTACAGGCAGTCTCTACTTCTTGAGGTAACAGTAAGGGCCAATCAAACATTACTATTTAGATACGAAAGTGAAAGTGAAGTCGCTCAGTCATGTCCAACTCTTTGCAACCCCATAGACAGTAGCCTACCAGGCTCCTCCATCCATGGGATTTTCCAGGCAAGAATTCTGTAGTGGGTTGCCATTTCCTTCTCCAGGGGATCTTCCCGACCCAGGGATCGAACCCAGGTCTCCCTCGTTGTAGGCAGACGCTTTACCCTCTGGGCCACCAGGGAAGTTTAGATATAAACATAAGTAAGAAATATACAATAATTGATGAGACTGCCTCATTTTCAAGAAGATCAACTCATCCACCTAGAAAAATGCATGTTTCTGCATTAGCTAAGGGTAGGTTAGGTGACTGCTAAGATCTCTTTCATGTTCTGAGACAGTGTAGCACAGTACTAGTATAAGCTCTGGAGTCAGGGCAACTGTACATATAGACTCAAATTTACTTAGTTATTATTAAGCATGTCAGCCTGGACAAGTTACTTAATCTTTCTTGGTTTTACTTTTCTAATCCATAAAACAGGGACAATACCAGTTTTAAGGATTTAAAGGAGTTAATAAAATACATGTAAAGAGCTTAGAAAAGTCCTAGAATAAAGTAAAAAGTCAGGAAAGCTACCTGTTTTTATTTTTGAACCCAGCAAATATTTACCAAGCACCCCTATCTGCTGGACATCAATTTAACACCAAGGTTTTAAGAGAGTTTATAATTAAGTTTTTATTCTAGTTAAAGTGACATGAGATGCATGACATGAAAGGTCACAAATAACATACAAATAAAGCTGGATAAAAAGAATAGAAAGTAATGGTTGCTATGTGATCAAGAAAGGATATTCTGATAACTGAAAAATATATGAATGTTACAAGAAAAAAGCTAAGACAGTATCTCAGTGAACAGTACTTTGAGATGACAAAATAGCAAGTAGGCTGGCTGGGATGGAAGAGTAAAAAATGTGAGAAAAGGTGGAAGGTCAGATCCTCTTGGCACCTTACAATACTGTTAAGGACATCAGATGCCTTAAACTCTCAGAGATATGTATAGGCTAATTTTTATTATCACATCATAATGCTTAACCTGCCACATTAAATGACAGAGAAGCAATAAAAATACTAACAGTTCTAGAACAGTTCTATCTGCTTTATCCAATCTGAAACAAACAACAGTTAGCAAAAGCTAAATAACTGGACCATAATTCTTCAATTAGCTCATACTGAAAGGAACACAAGTAAGTAAATTGGGATGACAAATTTGCTACCAGAGAACAGGAGGATAGAAAAGAGATCATGAATTTACAGAGGAATTAGTCTAATAAGTAAGAATTATATTGCTTGTAAAGCAAACAAAGCACCAAAACTAGAATTGCAACGTGTGTGTATTTAAAACTATGTAAAGTATAATATCTGTGCATTTAAAATCCACATTATAAAGTATCTAAAGGCTGATTTCTAACCAAGAATTGCAGATCTTTCTTTTAAACAAGAAGTGAGAGGTTAATGATATATAATGAATACTAAAATATTTACTCAGCTCTTATTCTATGTCAGGGACTATGCTGAGTACCTAAGCAGCTGAAACATCACCTAAAGTGATTCTCAACCCAAAGTCAAAGCTCTTAAGTGACAGGACCAAAATCCACAATAGCCTGACTTGAAAGATTTGAGTTCTTAACCACTGGGTAATACTACCTCTCCTTTTAGTTACACTGAGATTTGCTCTCTATTCACTCAGCAAAATATTAATCTTGCAGGAATTGACTTCACCTGTCTATCTGCTCGATTTTCAGTAAATCAAATTACCACATTTAGACTTCTCAAATGCTACACCTGAAATGCATGCTACTTATTAATGTTATATACCATATTCTTAAGTAATCTACAATGGAAGGCACAAGTAACCACCAAAAAATTTTCACAAAGAAAAAGCCGTATTTTTAAACATGTCTTTGCTATTTTGTGTGTAAATTCAAAAATTTTGGTGACATAAATTTAAATTCATTCAAAAAGTAGATAGCTGTTATATACAGACTCATTCAGTATAAATCACTTTAGCCCTGAGATCTTTCTACAAGGCTTCTAGAGTTACTCAAAACGTTGTTTCAGCTCTTTCACATCTTTATTAAAATGCTAAGCACATTTTTCATCCAGTTTAAAAGGCACAAGATAATTTAAAAGAATGTCTAAGGAAAAAAAAAAAACAGTGGGAGGTGGGAGGGAACAAAGGTATACTCTGTCCGATTCATGTTGATGTGTGGCAGAAACCAACACAATATTGTAAAGCAATTATCCTCCAATTAAAAATAAAGTAATTAGCCTCCAATTAATAAAAATAAATGAAAAAAATAAAATAAATTACTTAAGATATAAAAATAAATAAATTTTTAAAAAGAAAAAAAAATAAACCTAACAAGGTTTGTATTGTAATCTGTGGAAAGTAATACATTCAAACCACAAATTTAAACAGATGACTGGCTGGAACTTTGAACATGGTCAATGGAAGAAAAGCATCACAATACAACAGAATGAAGATGACTAAAAGTCAAGAAATTTGAGTTTCAGTCTCCTTTAGCTAGTCAATTCACCTCTCTAGGCTTTTTGCTTTATCATTTGTAAAAGAGAAGCAAATAAAGATGCTACTTGCTAGTAGCAAGTAAGAACTAGCAAGAAAGAACTTGCTAGCTCTGTAATTTTGTATAATTTATAAATTTCATATAAATTCATAGTTTATATGAATTTATAAATTTCATATAAACTCATATAATTTCATTTCATGACAACTTTATGTCGGGTTGAAATAACACTCTACGCTTGTTTGTTCACATTTTTGAAATATTTTAAAGCTCAAATCAATAAAAAACTGTATTACCTTAAGTTCAGCAACTTGTGATGAAATATGCCACATAAGGCTTTCACTTAGGAACTTCATACCATATGGGCCAAGCAGCTCTGATAATGACCTCATTTCTGTAAGGAAATGGAATTAATTTTATACTTTGACAAAAAAAAAATTTAAGAAGCAAATTATTAACTGAAAACTCTAAGAAAAAGTCTCTAGAATAAGAAAGAACATAAAGGCCTAGGTAAGCCTAAAATTAATGTTTGGTTATTCATATAATTGAATGAAAATCATCATAATAGAATCAAAAACCAAAAGAATCAAGGTTTCTTCATTCTCTAAAATATGCCAGAGTATTAGTCACCTGATATGTCAGAATATTCCTCTGCATTAAATGTTAATTCATTTTCCGTAGGTAAATTCACAAATGCTTTCATTGCAGGGAAATAAGCTATATGACCATTGCTGACTTGTCTTAACAAAGTTTCCAAATACCTAAGGAGAAGAGTAAATTTGCAAACTGGAGAAATTAATTAAAAATTTACTAAGGTATACATTTCTTAATATAATTTTAAAGTTGACTAATAACACAAACAAGCATTAATCCATTTTAAAAACTTCTGTAAGTCATTCATTACAAAGAAATTTATCATTCCAAATTTCTAAATATGTTTCTTACCAATTTGTGTATAGACTTGTAATGGTTGGTTCTCCATGACTGTCTAAATGTTGTGTTTGTTGAAGAAGAACATTATTAAATACTCTTGTAATATCAATTTGCACATAGTTTTCTATTGACTGGAGTACAGTCATGTATGCTCTTACACTTGTTAGAAGCTCTGATGGTTTTGCAATTTCCTGTGTGGCTTGATTATACATAGTCATTCCAACAATTGACCTGGAGTGGAGATGGTAGAAAAAATTAAAAAGCTCTAATTTTTGTATTTCTGTAAATAGGCCATTCAATCTACAATTCATGAAATTACTACTATCATTATCTTCCAAAGCAACAACTTAAAAAAAAAAAACATACTTAGATATACAGGAATGAAATGGGGATGCAAGTGATTAAAAAAATACTAAGGGCATCAGCAATAAAAGTGATTTAAGAATAAAGAGGGTTTTAAAAATTCCTTTAACATGATATGTTGTCTCCGGCAAGTAAATGGACTATTCAAGTCTATCGCTTGGATTTCTTTAGCACTGTTACGCACCAGTACTTTTTTAGGCCTTATATATATTACCTACAGTCTTCATATTTAATAACCCTACTGTGAAGTTATCACCATCATTTCATAGAGGAAAGAACAAATCTAAGGTGCAGAACTCAAGTAAACTGATTAAGGTCACTGGAAGTGCATGCATGCGTGCATGCTAAGTCACTTCAGTTGTGTCTGCCTCTTTGCGACCCTATGGACAGTAGCCCGCCAAGCTCCTCTGTCCATGGGATTCTGCAGGCAAGGGAAGTGGGTTGCCATGCTCTCCTCCAGGGGACCTTCCTGACCCCAGGGTTCGAACCTGTGTTTCCTGTGGTTCTTTCATTGCAGGTGGATTCTTTACTGCTGAGCTACCAGGGAAACCCGAAAATTCCCTATCATTAGATTTATAAAGATCTTAGACTTGTATCTGTAAGGATAAATTCATAAAGGCAACAAACCCCATCACTAGTAAGAGTCCCAGAAGAACAACTCAAGATGAAAACTGCTTGTACTTGTACGAAACTGTCCTTGTACATGGCCACCAAGTCTTTACGATTGTGTGCAAGTAATCAGCAAAAATCAATCAACTAATACTCACAAACTATCTGTCCTGGCATAAAAATACTTCCCAGGTAAACAAGTATACAGCCTTGCCTTGAACCTGATCACTAAGTAGATGTTTGATAAAAAGAATATCTGCTTCTCCGTGGATTAACGGACCGGACTGTTTACAGAAGGAAAACAAGGGAGCTGTACATTGAACTCTACCTTCCACACAACACTGCACCAATCCACCGAGTTGTGAGTGATAAGTATCAGAAGGCGTAACGTCCTACGGTCTAAATACTGAAGCAGTTTTGGTTTCACTGTCAGAATGCCTTCCTTACTAAAGAAGAGCAAGAGAGTCTTTGCTCAACACCAGACTCTTTGCAACTGATGACCTGACACTCAATTTACTGCAATTTACATATTCTATTTTCTTCTATAGTTGCTGCAGCTCTAAGCTTTATACAGTTTTATTATTACTCACATTTCTTAACACAATGTTACACATAAGGCACAAATACTTGTTAGCGACCACAACCTTTAGCCAAACCTTTTGAAAATCCTTAGGCAAAATTTCTTTCATAAATTGCTCAAAGGCCTTTAAGAAAAATGTATTGAATCAATCAATATTTTCTTTAATAACTAAATGTGTAACTTTAGAAAAAGGCTGAAGCAACATTTACAAAATTTCTGACTTGTTACATATAATATCATTTCAAGAAACATAACTTATAAGACTAATTAGAATTGAGTGCCTCAAGGGTCTAGAATTCTATCAGCATAACAGCATACTTTGGAGTTCACAAGACTTTAGGGTTCATCCAACCCTGAGGTTTTCACACATGTGACTGTGACCCACTATAAGATATGTATCTAATATCACCAACTCAGTACACACAAATACATACATAACTGAAAAGTTCCATGAAACAATATTTCTACTTACTACATGCAATGCACTGAGTTTTTCCCCCTATTTCTTCTTCCTTCTTTCCTTTCCTCTCTCTTTTTTCTTTCTTTGAATGTTCACTACAACTTTCTAAACCGATTCCATGATCCTCCGGGGCTGCCACCGGCCAGCTGAAGTACACCAATTTGCTCTGATAGTCTCCTTTTTCTTAGACAGCACATTAAAAAGCAGAGACATTACTCTGCCAACAAAGGTCCGTTTAGTCAAAGATACGGTTTTTCCAGTGGTCATGTACGGATATGAGAGCTGGACCATAAAGAAGGCTGAAAGTAAAAGTCGCTCAGTCATGTCCTACTGCACCCCATAGACTATACAGTCCATGGAATTCTCCAGGCCAGAATACTGGAGTTAGTAGCAGTTCCCTTCTTCAGGGGAGCTTCCCAACCCAGGGATAGAAGCCACATCTCCCGCACTGCAGGTGGATTCTTTACCAGCTAAGCCACAAGGGAAGCAAAGAAGGCTGAGCGCCAAAGAGTTGATGCTTTTGAACTGCAGTGCTGGAGAAGACTCTTCAGAATCCTTGGACTGCAAGGAGATCAAACCAGTCAATCCGAAAGGAAATCAACCCTGAATATTCACTGGAAGGACTGCCAGAGCTGAAGCTCAAGAAGCTCTAATACTTTGGCCACCTAATGCAAAGAGCTGACTCATTAGAAAAGACCCTGACGCTCGGAAAGAATGAAGGCAGGAGGAGAAGGGGACGACAGAGGATGAGATGGTTGGGTGACATCACCGTCTCGATGGACGGGAGTTTGAGCTCAGGGAGTTGGTGATGGACAGGGAAGCCTAGTGTGCTACACTCCATGGGGTTGCAAAGAGTTGGACACAACTGAGTGACTGAACTGAACTGAACTGTCCTTTTTCTTATAAGGAAATTAAGGCTCACAGAGATTAACTAGCCTCTCTGGTATTACAATGAGTTAACAAGTGTGGGGTAAGACTGGGTAATTTAAGTAATTCGCAGTTCACTATTCTTCATACTTCCCAGTTATTTTTCTATACTACAATTTTACTAATTTATATACCATTTCTACTAATGCTTTCCCTCATAAAAGTAAAGACTGCACAGATATGAAGAATAAATATAACAAATTCATTAACTTAATCAACAAACAAAAACGGCTTATATTCTTTCTTACTTAGTAAAGCGGATTTCCAGATGAGAAGTCAAATATTCTCGTGGGGTAAAAGTATGTTCCCAAACCACCATGTTTGGTACATAATTTATAGAGAAACACAACTCGGAAAGTGCAGTGTGCAACTTATCAAGGCTGAAAAAATATTAATAAACAGTAAAGAAAAAATTTAACATTTCATAATAGCAATATGAAATTAAATTTCATAAGTATATCAGAATAGTAATGGCAAAATTCAACTTTTCCTCTCTCTTAAACTGACATGTTCAATATATAATATATAACAAGATGCAAAATAGTGTCAGACATCTAATTTCAAATAAACTGAAAATTACAGATTGCTTATAGTATACCCCCTCCAAATTTTTAGACAGGTTCTTGGCCTTCAATATTCAACATATAAAAACAAATGACATCTATTACACGTACTTTCTTCAAAAATCCAAAGTAAGTACTTTTGGATTAAATAAGCACTGACTGACTAATCAAGTTCACAAATGTCAAAAAACATTAACAACTGGGAAATGAAGAATTTACAATTACTAGCATTTCCTCAGTACTAATGCCATACAAAAAATGGAAAACAACAACAACAACAACTCTTCTACCTGTAACAAAAAGATACAGTAATAGTGGATGACTTACTTGGTCACGACCAGCCTGTTTTTCCTCATGCTTTCAACTCCTGGTTTTTCCCTTTCAGGTTCCCCTTTCTTACCAGTCTGTTTTTTTGACTTCTTGTTCACTGCTTGACTGATGGTTTTGGCACAATGCTTGGGCAACAACTAAATTTATAAATAAATGAAATCATACATAACAATTACTCTGAAAACACTGACTACTGAAGCAAACCTCAGCTAAACCCAGACTATGCACCAAATACGCTAGCACTAAGAACAGAGGTGATAAGTGAGATGTAGCATTTACCTAGCCAGCTTGGAGAGCCCACTCAGCTTGGAAAACACAGAAACAGGTAAATCTTGTGTGAAGAGACATTTCATAGAGGTAGTTATAGCAAAGCTACAGTTCAAGGACAAATTAAAAAATACCAGGCAAGTGAGGAATAAGAAAGAATATTTTACTGAAGGGAAAATGGCCTATGAAGACCAAAACTATGATAGAACACAATGTGCTCTGAATCTAATTAGAATGACTCAGTAGTGGAGCATAAAATGTGGGGGAGAGATGTTCGAGCTACCTTGGGAAGGGATTTGAATGCCAAGCTAGAGGTTGGATTTTAAACCATAACCCTAAAGACAGTGGCAATTTCTTAAAGACCTAACAACAGAGCTTCATAATAAGAGGTAATGAGATTTACTGAGAGTTTGAGGATAAAATTAAAAATGGAAAAAAAAAAAACTAGCTAAGAGATGATTTTCTTGCCTTCAACAACAATTTTCCTATCTGTAAGGAAACATTTAAATTATTACCTGGTCACTAAGAGTACACTGTTCTGTGCAAATATCAGTGATGAGATTTCGAGCTTGTTTGGCCATTTCATCAAGGAACATATTACATAAGGAAAGACTGCGATCTCCAATATGATGTCTCTGTTAAAGAAAAATAGTAACAAAAACAGTAAAAATTATAACAAAGTAATTTGAATTAACAAATCTAGACAAACCTAGAAAGCATATTAAAAAGCAGAGACATTACTTTCCCGACAAATGTCCATCTAGTCAAAGCTATGGTTTTTTCCAGCAGTCACGTATGGATGTGAGAGTTGGACCATAAAAAAAGCTGAGCGCCAAAGAATTGATGCTTTTGAACTGTGGTGTTGGAAAAGACTCTTGGGAGTCCAGTCAATCCTAAAGGAAATAAGTTCTGAATATTCACTGGAAGGACTGATGCTGAAGCTCCAATATTTTGGCCACCTGAGGCAAAGAACCGACCCATTGGAAAAGACCCTGATGCTGAGCAAGATTGGCAGGAGAAGGGGATGACAGAGGATGAGATGGTTGGATGGCATCATGAACTCGACGGACATGAGTTTGAGCAAGCTCCAGGAGTTGGTGATGGATAGGGAAGCCTGGCGTGCTGTAGTCCATGGGGTCACAAAGAACTGGACATGACTGAGCAACTGAACTAACTAATTTGAATTAAAAGAGTTTTTAAATAAACATAGAAAATAGATTCAAGTCTATCCTGTATAAGGAGTGAAGATGGGAGATGTTACAGATCTCTTTTATCTCTTATAAAAACTAACCTACCATATCGTATTTGCACACATTTGACACAAAGTAAGTACTTGGTGACTATACGAGTATGACTGGAAGGAAACTGGAAGGACCACTATTTTCCTTAACATGAAAAATGTTCAAATTCCACAATGTCCTGTATCCAGTTCTTAAATACTAAAATATCAAACATATGAAAGAACAGATTTAGAGTAACATTTGCTGATCTCACTTGATCATTTGCTGATCTCACTTGATTATATACATACGTGTGTGAGTGTGTATATACATATCTTAGCAAAGAATTTTGTAGTGTATAAACAGAAAACAAGTGTTCAAATATTTAAGTAATATCATTAAAAATCGAGTCAGTAAAACAAATTCACAAGTCATTCAATTCTCTAAAATCAAACTCCATATCCCAGAAGAGAAAAAAAGCTGACTATGCATGCATTTTCTGAACTCCATAGGGGAAAAAAAGAACATCAGGTTATGTATGTATATGTAGACACATGTGCTGTGCTGTGCTGAGTGTCCGGCTCTTTGTGACACCATGGGCTGTAGCCCGCCAGGCTCCTCTGTCCATGGGGGGTCTCCAGGCAAGAATATTGGAGTGGGTTGCCATGCTCTCCTCCAGGAAATCTTCCCAACCCAGGGATCGAACCCAGATCTCCTGCACTGCAGGCGGATTCTTTACCTTCTGAGCCACCAGGGAAGCCCATGTAGATACATACACTCATTCAAATCCATCTATTTCTAGCTACAGAATTCTGTATCCTTTTAGTTTTGTGAGTGCTGCAATAGTTTAACAGGTTTTTCTTGTTAACGGTAATTGGAATGTTGAATATATAATACTGTATAATTTTGCCCTATACAATTTGCAATATTTTACAAAGAGACAGATTTTTACTTTTCTATTTTTATTTTAAAAATTTTTATTGAAGTACAGTTGATTTAAAATGTGTGTTAGTTTCTGGAGACAGATTTTTGTAAGTTTTCCTTCCCTGACCTTCCATAATTATATAAAAAAAAATGTAGACATTACAAACATTATTTCTATGCTGAAAGAAATGTGAGATAATATAGAATATAAAAATACTTAAACATGTAAAACAACTGTTCTTAGATGTACCAATTACCTTGTAACATATTTGATTTAAATGCCCTTTAAAACTTGAACAGGTAGCAAAACCAAAAGGGATCTACAGACCAGATACAATTAAATAATGGTTCACTTTACTTAAAAAAAAAATTTCAAATTATAGACATTTGGATTTTGTTTAACCAAATTCTGACTCCTGAAAGATAATACATCCCTTGCCATCCCTTCTTCCTGAAAAAAAGGACTTGAACTAGCATTGCTTCAAATTTACTAAACTAACTTATTTAAAATACAGATCTGACTTCACTACTTCTCTTCAATGGCTCAAAAATGCTGAGACTGGAAAACAAAACAACTAGAGTATAACTCTGGCTCCGTGCTGAGAACAGGATAATGGCGGAAGCAGAGACCACGTGGGAGACAGTAACAGTCATCCAGGCAGAAGATGCTGGGGCTTGTTCACAGGTGAGAAGAGGCAGGAGTCTGAACACTTATGTAACAGGAGAGCCAAAAGCAGAAAAGGCTTCAAGTTGGGGTAGATGGGGAAAAATCAGTGATTCTACACTGGACATGTTACACTTCAGATGGCTAAAAACACCTAGGGTGCAGTAAGATATAGAGAAAATCTAACTTGAAGGGAAAGATCTGGGCTGCAGATATAGACTGAAGAGCCATTAGCATAAACAAGATTTTTAAACAATGAGACTGAAAAAGATAAATGGCCTGCTATACTGGATGGTATAGCTGTAGCAACTCAATACATAGGTTCCCATTAGTACTGGCTACCATTATCTAGGAATCCTGCTGACCCAAGATGGTGTGAATTTCAAATCTAATTCAAAAGGTACTTTCTTTCTGCAAATTTACTGTAAGTACTCCAGCTTAAAATAAGGGCTGCATCAAAAAGTTATTTTATAGGCCTTTTCTATAATCCTTCTGATCTAAATGAGATGAAAGGCTAAAACTAAAACTATAAATTAAGACTGCACTGAGAACTATTAACTCTGCACACCAGCTTACTGTATCCTCATCCAAAGGTGAATTCCCTCAGTGTTCCAAGAGTGCCCCATGTATATTTCTACCACAACACAGGTCATCAAATCATGGATTTGTCTAGGGTAAAGACTGTCTTTGCAGCCTTTCAATTACAGGTTTAATAAAACTGGCTGGAATGTAATGGGCTTTAACAAATTAGCTAAATGAAAAACAGAATAGTGCCAGTCATGTCCAACTTGGTGACCTCAAGGACTGTAGCCTGCCAGGCTCCTCTGTCCATGGGATCCTCCAGGAAAGAATACTGGAGCGGGTTGCCATTCCCTCCTCCAGGCAATCTTCCCGACCCAGGGATTGAACCCATGTCTTCTGCTTGGCAGGTGAATTCCTTACCACTGAGTCACCTGAGAAGTGTATATATATGTGTGTATGCATGCACACAAAATTGTCCATTTTTGTCCAACTCTTTGCGACCCTATGGACTGTAACCCACCAGGCTCTGTTGTCCATGGGATTCTCCAGGCAAGAACACTGGAGTGGGTTGTCATGCCCTTCTCCAGAGGATGTTCCCAATCCAGGGATCAAACACTCGTCTTTTACATCTCCTACACTGGTAGGTGGGTTCTTTACCGCTAGCACCACATTGGAAGCGTGTGTGTGTGTGTGTGTGTGTGTGTGTGTGTGTGTGTCTCCTCCCTCATAGCACAATGGGTAAAGAATCTGCCTGCCATGCAGGAGACCTGGGCTTGATCCCCCTGTCAGAAAGATCCCCTGAAGAAGGAAATGGCAACCCACTCCAGTATTCTTGCCTGGAGAATCCCATGGACAGAGGAGCATGGCAGGCTACACAGTCCATGGGGTTGCAAGAGTCGGACATGACTTAACAAATAAACCACCACCATACATATACATATATATATATATTCTTTTCTTTCTCCCTTAAAAGACAAAGGAAAAAAGGAAAGGGGAAAAAAAAAAAACAGGGTGCAGATTTGTTGAGGATTTTCAATGCCTGAGAAGTCTCTACCTTCTCCATATGCAATGGAGAACTCTAACGGTATTTTAAGAAGGAAAGACACACTCTAGTGGCACTGTGTTTGTCTTTAAGGCAAAAATATTGAAGGAAGAAAAATTATTTAGGAGTAGATATGAAAACCTTTGAAAAGCTGAACTACAATAGTGCCAACAGCAATGGAAAGTAAAGGATGGATTCAAGAAATTATATTACACAAATAAAATTAAGAGGACATGATGAGTAATTAATGTGAAGGATGACAGTGAGAAAGAAAGTGACATCTTATATCACACATTACATGACAGTATATCTTAGGTATCACGATTAGAAGGAAAAATCTTTCATTCTAAAAATTCCATAGTGCTATTAAAATTGGTGGTGTCATATCATCTCACAGGTATTAATCCTAAAAGCACTCCCTAATAAATTTCCTGTAGGATTAATGGAAAACAACGTGCAACAGAGAGTACCTAACGCTTAAAGATAACAATGCTACAGCTCTTCTTTTTTTTTTCATTTATTTTTATTAGTTGGAGGCTAATTAATTCACAACATTGCAGTGGGTTTTGTCATACACTGCAGCTCTTCTTACGTGTCTTCTCTACAAGTTCTGTAGTTCTAAGTGAAAGGATTGAACACTAAGCTATGTTTTAAAATACTATCTAATTTTAATATATACTTACCATACGCACTGTTATTCTTCGACGATGAGAAGAAATACTGAAAGTACACTTTTGACAGATACTTGGTATGTGTAAAACTACAGAGTACTTTAATTACTCAGTAACTGTGTGTGCCAGTATGTGAATTCTTACAAACACTGGCAAATCTCAATTTTGCTTACTATATCTATTATATTAACAAGTCAGTGAAATTCTTCTTTGAAAGGCTTATATTTAGTCAGTAATGTCTCCATTCAATTTCCAAGTATTTTCAATAAGTGTTTCAGAGGAAAACTAAGCATATAAATATCACTCATTATATATAACTTTACCATAAATATTAATGCCTGACTCACTATTTATTTTAATAAAGGTTAATTCCAAGTGGTTTTATGCCTGGGAAATCCCATGGACAGAGAAGCCTAACAGGCCACAGTCAATGGGGTATCAAAAGAATCGGACACAACTGAGTGACTAAACAAGTGATTTTATGATGTGTTCTTAGAAACATGCATCTGCATTTATCCAATCATTTAAACAAATATTACATCATATGCCTAATCAAGCATTTTTCTGACTTCACAGAGATACATTAGGTGGGCAGGTAGGTTAAGTAATTATGACTTTGTGAGTCTTTGTCTTTGTGAACATTTGGTCAGCTATATGCTTGGAGTAGTTTATTCTGCATACTATATTAATCACAATACTACTCTGAAATTACCTCTTCTGGACACAGTTCATGTGTGCAACTCATAAAATGAGTGCAAAGTAGTGGAAATGCAATTGAGTATCTTGACTGAGAGGGTAACTCCAAACATTGTTGAAACATCTTCTCAAAAGCACGACTATAAAAACTATAAGGAAACAAATTAAAAATCAGAATCACAATTTTTATAGTTAAAAGTTAGTTTAATTTGATTCAAGTAAACGAAAATTACCAACTGTAGCATTTATTCTTGTAGGAAAAGTTATACTTCCAAAGAGTTCTCTTTCATACCAATAATCATTTCAGGGTTATAAAAATATTATTTATATAACATTAACACATTTTAAAATAAAAGTTAAAGAGAAAATAAACCATATCTATGGCATTTGAATATATACCATTTAAACCTTACAGCATCAAAAGTCATCAAAGCTAAGCCACTATCAATTGTAAGAAACACCATTATTTATGTACCACTAAAAAAGAAAAATACTGTCAATTAAACAATAATACACCATCAACTTTAAATTATTTCCAGACTGAAGAGATGTTAAATCTAAAAGAATATGAGGTGATAAAATATAGGTTTAATACATCTTGGAAAAATAAAACAAACAGAAGTAGTGAACATGTCTTTATTTTGGATGTGACAAAGTAAGAATGTGGTTAACAGAAAGTATGAATATAAATTAATTAAATGACTGAAAATTTGCAAATTTTAAACATTATTCAAAGTCCCTTATTTCCAGGAAAGAGAAGATGAATTTATTTTCTTTTTGAAATTAATTTATTTGGCTGTACTGGTTCTTAGCTGCAGCATGCAGGATCTCTGGTCATCATTGCAGTATGTGGGATCTAGTTCCCTGACCAGGAATAGAACCTGGGTCCCCTGCATTCAGAGCATGCAGTCCTAGCCAATGGACCACCAAAAAGTACCCAGAAGAGGAATTTCTAATTGCTGTATCTTTCTTTTACAATATATAGCTCAAAAATAGCTAAACATAAAATGTTACATTTTCTTTTCAAGGTAGCCTCTGGTTCAGACAATAGGACAGGGTTCCAAATCTTTAAACTCTTACAAACTTGTTACATAATAACTGTATTTCCTCAGTTTCTTTAAGAGATCCTTTATGTCTTCCCTGCTGATCAATTTGGATTTCTTCTGCAAAACTGCTAATTAAAGCCCCACTACAAACTGCAAAAATCAGGGCAGACTGGTTTTCTCCCCAAAACAAAATTAATCACAAGCTTTTCATAATGATCTCTACTCAATACAGAGAAACTACTATCACTATCCACTGAGGCTATTTCAGCATTTCAGAATTGAAGAAACCTACCAGGCTATTCTCATCAGCTTCCCTAAAGGAAAAAAAAGATCAAGAAGCAGAAACAGAGTGGACACTGCACAGCTCTGAAATCAGAATACTTAAGTCTGAGTTCCGACACCACTGTTTATTAATTTCATCACAGTCAAGTTCACTTATTCATTTAAATATTTATTAAGTACTTACTCTGTTAAGACACTAAGGAAACAAAACCTTGGCCTCCTTCAAGAACCACATAATGTGGGGAGTGAAGGGGGAGCTGCAACTACTGAGAGTAACAGAAGAACTTCATAACAGAAGCAAAGGAGAGGGGAGCACAGTGAGGGAACGGCATCACATTACCATAATGTTAATAGCTAACTTAATACCACAGAGTGAAACCATGTGCTATTGAATTTCTGACATTTGCTCTATTTGACCCCAATCCAATTTTTTTTTTCCTTTAATGACACAATTTGAAGTGACTGTTCTTCACTTCTTCAAAGAAAGTGTAAAAAAACAAATTCACATCAGTAAGAGGTGCTCTTATAGAGAATTAAAAACAGATATAAGATCCCAACATAGTAAACTTCACTACTGGCAGGTTGTTCTTTATTCCCTTTATTCTTAGAATCTCTAATTAAAACTGTCTTAAGCAACACACTAATGTAAAGTAATCAAGAAACATATCTTTGGATAATAAAAATTTCAAATTCTAATTTAAAGAAAATTACAACATACCAAAATATGGAGAGATCTGATGTTTCCACCAACATTTCCACCAAGGAATCTACCATTTTTGTGTGAAAAATTATTGTATTCATCATCTTTCCAAGTTCTCTGTGATCTGAAAGGCTAAGTGAAGCCTTAGAGACACTAGTATATGCCTGAAACAGTGAAGAAAGAAAACAAAAGTAGTTTAGGTAATGACTTCAGGTATAGACCAAGTCTACAGGAAAAAAAAGAAAAATACCCACTATTGAAAAATACTTAAAGTTTATTAAGAACATCATCTTTTAAAAATTGTCTCCAGTGACTCAAACTTAAAATTCCTATCAAGAATTTCTTTAAGTAAACTGAAATACTATCCAGAAGACAGAATCTAATACATGGGTCATTCAGCTTGAACTCCTAAAGTAAGTGAAGCTACATATCAAAGATATAAAACAATGAATTGTCACATGGTGTCCCTACCAAAAGAAGTTTTCAACTTAGTTCAAGAGAAAACACATATTCAAAACAGTAAGATGAAACTTAAGTACAGCACATGTTGACTCAGGGAGGTTTTTGATTATACTGAATCATTAAAAACTGGAGAGCATAACACACTGTACTAATTGATGAATTCTAGAGAAGCATTCTGAAGGTGGTAAAATTAGTGTTAAGTTGATTTAAAAAGGTGACAGGTCTTAACCAAAACCATCAGGACAGGTTGTGAGGGAAAGAAATTCCACTAAAGAGGTACCAACTCACTGAAAGCAAAACCTGCCCTTGGGTGGTGGACATTTCACAAGCAAGGAGAACAACAGGAGGGATGCCTACAGAATAAACACCATATATCATGCTGAAGAATTTAAACTTTTTGATAAATCACCGAAGATTCTGCGTGATGGATAATTACTGCTTAGAAAGATTGTTCTATGCTTAGGTGGAAACACAGAGGACTGGAAAGGGAACCAGGAGGCAGAGATTCTTAGGAGGCAGTAGTGGTAACAATCCAGACAGGATTATGAGATGGTCTAGGGTGGTAAGGTTCAAAAGTGTTTAATCAGGGAATGACTAGATGTGGTAGGCAACGGAAGAATTATGGTTGATGGCCATGGTCCTGCCTTTTGGGAGACATTCCTTCATGAATTTCACATGTGCGTACACAACTTGCTTGATATGCCAAGAAAGCACAACCCAGACCACTCACTATCTCAGCCATTTCTCCAGGCTTCAGAGCTACCAAACTTGAAAAATAAAGTAATGTGTCCCTCTAGAACAAAGAGCAAATATGCTTATTGTTGATGATAAAACAGAGAGTTCCTCAAACTCAGTCCTCCTTAGCTTAAGCCATGCTCAATGCATACACAGCATTCATCCGGGTCTCTCTGCACTACCCCCAAAAGACACGAAAGCAAGGGAAAAACAATGTATGTATCTGGATGCTCATGGCACTTCCTGTGCAGTGAATTAAGTTCTCTGTCTCTAATCTAGGAGACCCATGTCTTCTCCTAGTATCCATGAAACAGTAAGAGACTAAATAATTATTGCCTTTTAAGTAAGAGAAAGATCAAATTTCAGTCTCTCCAGTGAGAAAAGGTCACTACATAGATGAAGTTACCATTCACTAAGGTAGGCGCATCACAAAGCAGAGTTCTATAGTTTGGTGTTTGTGTCTTCTACCAGAAAAAGGGAGAGAATGTAGAATATGATGGCAATACACTAGTGGCAAGATGTATTCTGGACATTCATCACAAAGTAAGTCTAACTGAAGTGTAATTCACCTTTCATCAGTTTTAAAGTACAAAAAGAAACCAGTAGTGGTCATGAGTTCAATAAAGACTTCCACTAACTGAGAATAATTTTTAAAATTCTGAATTAAAGTATCACTGTGAAAATAAATTCAGATGAAATGGACAGTGACAAAATGAGATAATTTAATTTAAAACTCTTGACAACAGTGGAGGAAGAAACATACTTCATTAAAAAAAAATAAAAAAACTGGTTTAAATAAAAGTCTAAAATATGAACTACCCAAGTAAATTAGAAGGCAGAAGAGAATGAGTGACTGAAGATGCTTAAGGGACTAATGGAACAAACAGCAGAATGAGATCCTGATTGAGGAAAAGAAAAAATGGCAGAGAATACATGTAGAGAGGGAGAACTCTTCTTTTAAGACTACGAAGACCCCAGTGAAGGTAGCAAAGCATACTATCACATTCCCTGAAAGGCGTATTCTTCTAGCCCTGCCCTACTCAAGAAGTGATATATACAGAGCTCTACATCTTTCTCTGACCATATACTTACACCTAGTAACTCTTATCCTTCTATCAGATCACTGATCAAATTCAGATCATTCATATCTTTTGTGAAGATATTTTTCTTCCTATAGTAATATCTTACATTAAGAGGGCTCTTTTCTAGCCCTTTCCTGTGTAAGCGATTCTCCTACTCCAACTTGACCCATCTTTCAGTGTGTGGATAACAAGCTGTTTTCTCTATAAAGCCATTACTAGTCATTCCACTTGAAAAAAACTTTCTCCTAAGAAAACTGTAATTAATTGACAAACACACTGTCAGTGTACTGATAATCATACTGTCATTTTATCTTAAGCTTTTAAACTATTTACATTTTCCTATCTTTTATGCCTTGTCTCCAAAGCCAGATGTATAGAATATCCAAATGAGGATTGTACTCAACTATATAAGTTGTCAGTATTTTATCTCCCACATCCTGTAGCCTAGTCTGTGATCTTGAAAGCCTCACAGTTGACTTGCTCTTGGTCATCTATGCAAACATCCCAGGTTCTGGACATTGCCTTCTACCTTGTGTTTTTGTCCTCTTTTCCTAGGTAAGGCTTAGTTTTATGTCCCATTACTTTCATCCTTGGTATGTTTTGACCTATTATCACTATAAAATAAGAGTCTAATACACAACAGAAAGGACCTGAGTGACTGTTTATCCTAATCATGGTTAAGAGCAATGTTATGGGTTGAACTGTCTCTCCCAAAAAGATATGTTGAAAGTATAACCCTTAATACTTCAGAATATAACTTTATTTGGAAATAGGGTCTTTATAGACATAAGTTAAAATTAGATCATTAAAATGGACTCTAATCCAGTATGACCAGTGTCTTTATAAAGAGAAGAAATTTGGACAAAGAGATAAACAAAGAAGGAAGATGATGTGAAGAGAGAGAGCGATGTCATTAGTGTTCTAAGGGAAAATAAAACATTCTCACACAGGGATATATCAATTCTATACCCCTAATGCTCACTCTAAAGCTTCATACATTGCTGTATGACTGCAACAGACAAAGGTAAAATTCTCAAGTGAGTTTTTCAAATGAGTAAGTTGAATAATTCTGGAAGTATTCAAATAAGGGTTAATTTGAAAGGCATCTAAATCTGTAAAATTCTCTGAACATAAATGTTGGCTTAGGAAAACTCCCATAAACTGAGAGTAAGAGATTGAAAACAGTTCAAACTTCGTGACGATGACTTTCAAATTTTTTAATGTGTATATATCCATTGGCACAGTAATTCTATTTTCAGTCATTTAATAAGCATGACTTACACATTGTTTCATAAGGTTTTTTAGCACAAGAAAATGTTAATTTCTAAACTTTATTTTTAACTGGAAGAAAATAACATATATACTATTAAATATTTGGAGGTGGTAGTATCTCAAGTATTCTTCCCTGAGTTCCCACTAATCAGTTCTGTGATTTCAGGGAAGTTACTTAAAACATAACTAATTATCAACTCACATCTGTCACAATGGCTATTATAAAAAAGATAATATATAAAGAGAGTTTGAGAGGATGTGGAGAAAAGGAAATCTTGTTTGTCAATGGTGGGAACGGAAATGGGTGCAGCCACTATGGAAAACAGTACAGAGGTTCCTCAAAAACTATAAACAGAACTACCATATGCTCCAGCAATTCCACATCTGGTATTTATCTGAAGAAAATGAAAACACTAATGCAAAAAAGATATCTATATCCCTTTGCTCACTGCAGCATTATTTACAATAGTTACAACATGGAAATAACCCGTGTCTACTGATGGATGAATGGACAAAAAAATTGTGGGATACACACACACACACACACACAACTAGGAATATTATTCAGCCATGAAAAGAGAAAGGAAAACTTGCTATTTGTGACAATATAGATGGGCCTTGAAGGTACTGTGCTAAATGAAAGAAGTCAGAGAAAGGCAAATATCATATGATCTCTCACTTATATGTAGTATCTAAAATGACAAAAACAAACCAAAATGAACAAAAGAAAAAACCAAACTCACAGATACAGACAACAGATTGGTGTTTCCTAGAGGCAGAGACAGAGTCAGGGGTAGGTGAAATGGGTACAGTAATCATAAGATACAAACTTCCAGTTACAAAATAAATAAACATGTATCCTGAAGAGCAAAGTCAAGTGGGCCTTAGGAAGCATTACTATGAACAAAGCTAGTGGACCTGATGGAATTCCAGCTGAGCTATTTCAAATCCTAAAAGATGATGCTGTTAAAGTGCTATACTCAACATGCCAGCAAATTTGGAAAACTCAGCAACGGCCCCTGAACTGAAAAAGGTCAATTTTCATTTCAATCCCAAAGAAAGGCAATTCCAAAGAATGTTCAAACTACTGCACAACTGTACTCATCTCACACGCTAGCAAGGTCATGCTCAAAATCCTCCAAGCTAGGCTTCAACAGTACTTGAATCGATGTACAAGTTGGATTTAGAAAAGGTGGAGGAGCCAGAGATCAAAGTGCCAACATCTGTTAGATCACAGAAAAAGCAAGAGAATTCCAGAAAAACATCTACTTCTGCTTTATTGACTATGCCAAAGTCTTTTGACTGTGTGGATTACAACAAACTGTGGAAAATTCTTCAAGAGATGGGAACACCAGACCACCTCACCTGCCTCCTGAGAAACCTCTATGTAGGTCAAGAAGCAACAGTTAGAACCAGACATGGAACAACAGACTGGTTTCAAACTGGGAAAGGAGTACGTCAAGGCTATACATTGTCACCCTGCTTATTTAACTTATATGCAGAGTACATCATGTGAAATGCTAGGCTGGATGAAGCACAAGCTGGAATCAGGATTGTGGAGAGAAATATCAATAACCTCAGATATGCATATGACACCACCCTTATGGCAAAAAGCAAAGATGAGCTAAAGAGCTTCTTCATGAACGTGAATGAGCAGAGTGAAAAAGCTGGCTTAAAACTCAACATTCAATAAACTAAGATCATGGCATCTGGTCTCATCACTTCATGGCAAATAGACAGGGGAAAAAAATGGAAGCAGTGAGAGACTTTATTATCTTGGGCTCTAAAATCACTGCAGATGGTGACTGAAGCCATGAAATTAAAAGAAGCTTCCTCCTTGGAAGAAAAGCTAGACAGCCTATTAAAAAGAAGAGACATTACTTTGTCGACAAAAATCCATCTAGTCAAAGCTATGGTTTTTCCAGTAGTCATGTATAGATGTGATGAGTTAGACCATAAAGAAGGCTGAGCACTGAAAAATTGATGCTTTCAATTTGTGCTACTGGAGAAGGTTCTTGAGAGTCCTTTGGACTGTAAGGAGATCGAACCCAGGCAATGCTAAAGGAAATCAACCCTGAATATTCATTTGAAGGACTTATGCTGAAGTTTCAGTACTTTGGCCACCAGATTCAAAGAGCCGACACACTGTAAAAGATCCTGATTCTGGGAAAGACTGAAGGCAGGAGAAAAAGAGGATGAGATGGTTGGATGGCATCACCGATTCAATGAACATGAGTTTGAGCAAGCTCTAGGAGATGGTGAAGGAGAGGGAAGCCCGGCTTGCTGCAACAGCAAAGTGTTGGACACAACTGAGCAACATGGGCTTCCCTGTTACTCAGACGGTAAAGACACTACCTGCAATGCAGGAGACTGGGGTTCAATTCTTGGGTTGGGAAAATCCCTCGGAAAAGACAATGGCTATCCATTCCAATATTCTTGCCTGAAAAATCCCATGGACAGAGGAGCTAGTCAGACTGCAGTCCATGGGGTTGCAAAGAGTTGGGCATGACTGAGTGACTAACACTTTCACTGTCTTTCATGCAATATATAGGATGGTGACTATAAATAATAAGACTGTATTAATATCTGAAAGTTGCTAAGCAAGTAAATCTTAAAAATTCTCATCACAAGAAAAAATAAATTTTTAACTACATATGGTGATGAATATTTACCAGATTTATTGTTGATCATTTCAAAATACACATATACACTGAAATCACTGCTGCATACCTGAAACTAACATAATGTGAAGTTCAGTTCAGTTCAGTCACTCAGTTGTGTCCAACTCTTTGCAACCCCATGAATCACAGCACGCCAGGCCTCCCTGTCTATTACCAACTCCCGGAGTTTACTCAAACTCATGTCCATCGAGTCGGTGATGCCATCTAGCCATCTCATCCTCTGTCGTCCCCTGCTCCTCCTGACCCCAATCCCTCCCAGCATCAGGGTCTTTTCCAATGAGTCAACTCTTCGCATGAGGTGGCCATGTTACATGTCAATTATATCTCCATTAAAAAAAGCTTTTTCTGTGAGGTAAAGACTATGTTAGTTATAACAATACAAAAGAAGTCTTTTCAATAGGTATACAAGGAATATTTTTTCATATTAAGTTATGCTCTCATGTTAACTAAGGTATTCAGTAACAAACAGAATGACAATGATAATTAACGTTATTCTTACCTGTAATCGAAACCAATCTAATCTCATTCCTCTGAAATCAAATACTTCCCCATCTTCAACTACAGTAACAGAAAAAAGATTACAAAGCAAATTAATATTTTCCAATAACCTATAATCACATTTTAAAATTTAAGGGTTAGGACAATTCCACTTCTGGACATATATACAAAAGAATAAACCCATGTTCTTGTGCACACCAACGTTTACAGCAGCATTATTCACAACAGCCAAAAGGTAGAAGTAACCAAAAAGTTCATCAACAGTGGATAAACAAAATGATATATACACACAATGGCATATTATTCAGCCTTAAAAGGGGAGCAAATATTGTAACATGGATGTCATGTCATGGATGACATGTTGGAATGCTAAGTGAAATAAGGCAGTGATAGAAAGACAAATACTATACAGTTCACTTATGTGAAGTATCTAGAATAGTTTAACTCATAGAAACAAAGAATAGTGGTTCCAGGGGCTGGGTGGAAAGGAAAACGCCTGGGGGTGGGGTGGGGGTGGGGGTGTGTGTTACTTTATAGCTACAGTTTCAATTTTACAGGATGAAAAGTTCTGAATATTTATTGCACAACTATGTCAATATACTTAACTCTACTGAACTGTACACTTAAAAATGGTAATGTGGCAAATTCTATTTTACCACAATTTTAAAACGATAGCTAAGAGTGAAATAATTCTCATCTCCTATAAAGGTGATGATGAGGCACCTCTGCTAAGAGAAGTGTAAAGTACAGACTTCTCTCTAAACACTGTGATTCTCATTTTGCTTACATATCAACTCAAAGTACCTAAAGGAGAGCATGAGGAATCCTGTGAACAGAAACTTTGGAAAGCATGCTGAAGTTCCACAAAGTAACTTTGTTTAACCAAATATCATCAGGCAAGTTTACAGCAGATTCATTACATAAGTATGTTTAACTTATCAATTTATAAGTTCATCAAGTTATCAGTTTATCAATATTAAGATTGATAAAACTAAAATAAATTTATTACTCAGAAATTTTCAAGGTTTCTGATACTTTTTATTTGAAGATTATAAAACTAAAATATCAGTCTACTGGAATGGAGGAGTATTCAACTAATAGGCAGTCTATTATATGACACCAACTTTTGTGAATGATAGATCTGAACTTAAGTTCGTATTCTAGAACTTAGTATCTGTTAAAAAGTGTGGGCAAACTATGTTGAATAACTGAAAGGTTAACCCTTAAGCCTCAAGTTTCCAAATGTGTTAAATAAAAATAATTAACAGCTTTTTAACATTGATGAAGACTGAATAAGATAATATATATAAAGTGCTTGCTCAAATTAATCATTTCATTAATGGTATCCATTACTGTCATAGGTAATGCCTGGACCATAATATAAAGTTTGTTATGATACAGGATGCTCATTTTTCTTTTTTATAATTACAAAATACCTTTTTGCCTCTAAAATACCATTGTGCCTCCAGCTGAATATGAAGAAATGTCAAGCTAAACTTCTTATAATTTTTGTAAATATCACCACACATCCATCTTTAAAATCTTTGCTTCAGAGCAAACAAAAGAGAACAGATTAAATATGCTCCAAAGTAAGATAACACTGTAAAAACTAACTGTTAAGTCCTCTCCTCAATAACAGAATTTGAAAACCTAATGGCAAGAAAATACATTTCAATTTAAAAGACTTATTACCTTGTTTTACACTTAGAGAAGTCATAGTGTTAACAAAAGAGGACATGATGATCGATTCATCTTCAGGGCAAACAGAAAGATTCTGGGGGAAAAAAAGTGATAAAAATAATGATAAAAATATCTAGTTGGGAAAAAATTCACAGGTCCATCAACTAGTAGGTGAATAAACTGATATATCCATAGCTGGAATATTTTTAAGCAATAAATAAAAATGGAATGTTTATACACACAGTAACATGGATGAACTCAAAAACATGCTAACTGAAAGAAATGAAAAACAAAAAGTTGTATGATGATGGTTTCATTCACATGAAGAAAAATTTTTTTCAAGGCAAAAGTGACATAAAGCAGATAAGGGGTTGTTGAGGATCTAGAAAGGGAATCAACTACAAAGGTGCACAAGAAAACTTTTAAATGTTGGAAATGCTCTTTATCTTGACTGGTGGTGGTTACATGAATGTATACAGCTGTCCAAATTAAACAGTACCCTAAAAACAACTGACTTTTATCATGTATAAATTTTACCTCAACAAAATTAGCACCAAAAACTCCCTGTGAAAATGGCTTAAAAAGTGAACATTTAATAAACTGTATCTGAAGTAGATGCTAAATGATAAACCTTTTAAAAAAGCATATGCTTATTAGCTCACAAAAACTGTAATTTTCAAAACACTAAGACCTGTACAGCCATGTAAATATACACAGAATTCTATACTGTACAATTAAAAATAGTTAGAATGATAACTTTAATGTTACATACATTTTACCACAATTTTAAAATTTAATTTTAAAAGTTACCATTTTAACCAATATTACAATGAACGATTGTAACAAGTTATCTTAGTTCTAAATTTCAATCCTAGCAAATGGTTAAAAAACTATGCATGTAAATACTTTACTTGCGGGTGGTAAGAAGCTCAGACATTTAACACATTTAAATAGTGTTATTTGTACTCATGAACTGTGTGATACTGATCAAGTTACATAAGGTCTTTTTTCTTCACTATACCTACCCTCAGAGCTGTTAATATACTATTGATAAATGTCAATTATTAATATTAGTATCAGTATTGCTGCTGCTGCTATTACTGTATCAGAAAAATAAGAAATTAATTTTCTCATTATTGCTAAAATAAGACACAAAAAGACATGGAGTGGCTTAAAATTTTTAATACTTTAACATAATCTGTAAAATGTATTAATAAATACCCAGTTAGTCATAGCAAACTTCAAAATGCCACAAAGCAAGGAGTCTGATTTACTTTTTAGACTGTGATAGCACAGTAGCCTTTGGTTTATCAGGTATGTAATAACTATTATAAAAAAAAACTATATTGCTGTCCACCTGAAACTACCACATGTTAACTGGCTATACTACGATATCAAATAAAAAGTTTTAAAAAAATAACTACAACAAAGCAGTAACACTTTGCCTTGGATAAAAGCAGCTTTTTTATTCCCTTTTAACAGACTTTCTAGAAAGGAAGCGTATGAGCTCCATCTAGTGGATAAAAGAAGAAATAAACTAGGGTAGTAAACTGGAAGCTGTTTATAACTCAGGGTAAACAATTACATGAACAGCTTTTTTCTTATTTGCATTTTTAGGTAGGTTTGAAAGAAAATGAGGATTTCAAAGTATGGTTATTTCTGTGGAAAACCAATAGTTTTAGATTCACTTCAGTTCAGTCGCTCAGTAGTGTCTGACTCTTAGTGACCCCATGGACTACAGCACGCCAAGTCTCCCTGTCCATCACCAACTCCAGTTTACTCAAACTCATGTCCACTGAGTCAGTGATGCCATCCAACCATCTCATCCTCTGCCGTCTCCTTCTCCTCCTACCTTCAATCTTTCCCAGCATCAGGGTCTTTTCCAAGGAGTCAGTTCTTCACATCAGGTGGCCAAAGTATTGGAGTTTCAGCTTCAGCATCAGTCCTTCCAATGAATATTCAGGACTGATGTGCTTTAAGATGGACTGGTTGGATCTCCTTGCTGCCCAAGGGCCTCTCAAGACACTCTTGTTCTTTTGCTTTCTCTGCCTCTTCATGTGACCCCCAGTAATTTCTCATACACACTAAGCCAGGGTGATTTTCCTAAATATTATATCTGATTTATGACTAACCTCCTCTTTTGCAAGATCTTCTATAATTTGGTTACTGTACACCTCCACCCACCAAGATAAAGAATTATTCCCTGCACGTGTTCACTTTAAGCTTTATACACGCTTAAGCATAATGCCCATCACACTGGAATACAACTAAATGTTTTCTTTGCTCTAGATAATGATCCCCTTGACAAAATATGACCGTGACTTATTTACATTTGTAACTTCACCATGAGACAAAAGATTACTTTTGTAAATGTTTACTGAGCAAACAAATCAATTATTGGAACAGAGGGAAATAAGAAACAAACGGGAGAATGGTATCAGAGTTTTTTACCTGCACAAGCTCATTGAGGACAACAGCATCAAAGCCAGAAAGGTACTGCACGTAATATCTCTGCATTACAGGTCCATATTTCCTTACATGTGCTCTAAGCTCTTCCATATAAAATATTAATTCAGCAATGTGCCTTTTTTTATTCAAGAAAAAACATTTCAAAAATTAAATTCACTTACTATCAAGGAAAATATGAAATGCCTTTGATATTGCTACATCAAGTTTTTTCTTAGAAAAAGCATTGTTAAATATTTAATGTCAACTACTTTCTTTTTTATATTATCTCATATACAGAAAGAAACCATGGAAAGCAAAAAAAGCAAAGAATAAAAAATTGATAAAAGGAAAACACAAAATAAAAATAAAATTATGACATCTCATAAATACGTCATTAAAAGTCATAAATAAAAGAAGGTTAGAATATTAGGAAAAAATAAGATTTTTCTGTATGCTATCATTTCTCTGATTCATTTATCTAACTTCTGTTGAGGGACTATGGACTAAAATAAGAGAAATATATTACAAATGACACAGCTGTAACTCCGTTAGGATTATTATTCAAATTTTTGTGTAATAAATAATTCTGAAACATGAATCCTATAAGAAATACTATAGCACAAAAACATACCTCTGCAACAACCTAGAGTACTAGCAAGAAAACATTTAAGCCTTAATTCAAAGTTAAAGTTGACTTTGCATTCTAATTCATATCACCTAAGAATATATTTTAATATTCCCTGCATTATGACAAATATGAAAAGCCTTAAAAAGTTTTTCAAAATAATTTTACTTTAGTCCCCAAATTCCATAGCCCATAAATCAAATATACAAAAAATATATATTTTTTAATTTGCTAACTTACTTATCTATAAAGTCATCTGCACTCTTCTTTGGCATGTTATCTGCATGACGAAGTAGCCAGATAATTTCATCACGGGCAAAGGATAATGCCATAAAAACAAAAAGTGCCTGATAGATATTAAAAAATAACACTGTTTACTCTCATGCAAAAATTAAAAACAAACCTATCCAAAATCTTTCTCAAAGTGAAAAGTCCCAGGCAAAACTGGTACTATCAACTCTTAAAGACAGAAGTAAGAGAACAGGGATCTTCAAAGCACATATCAAAAAAGCATGCACATAAGTAAGATGTGAGGGAAAATGCAGGAAGGTCTGATTTACAAGAACCAAGTTAGCAAATCCACTCTCAGATAAATATAAAATCTCTTACATAGTTCCTGACTCAAATTTTAGTAAAATTTCAGAGAGAAGAAAAAAAATTTTTTAATTTTAATGTGGCACGTTTGAAACAAGAATTAAATCAATTACCTTAGGACCTAGCAAGCCAGGCTGATCAGAGAGAACAGTAGCCAATTCTTTCAGTGCAGACCTTAAAAACTTGCGTCTTTCTCTGTGCATTGACCCACTATAGGAAAAGACAACCACCATTAGAGTTTATGTTTCTACTAAACTTATTACTGGCAATTAATTAACATCACTTCAGAGTCAAGTTCCAAAGTTTTCTTAGGAAACAGAAACACTTAAAAATATCTTCTACGTGTTTGTCATTAAATGACTCTTCAGGCTCGTCTTTACCCTTGCCTTTTGTGCTGTTTGGTAACTTTTTTCACTTCTCTCTACCTATCAAGATGCTACTCAAATTTCAAGACCAACTCTTCAAAAAGTATTTCCCAATATAGAGATGTCTAATCCTGAAGAATTTCTGCCAGTTAAGTACCATATAGCCTAGTACTCTATAAAATGGACTGTGAAATCCTTAAGAGTAAGCACTTTTTAATTGTGTACATTTTTGTCACTCCCACGTAGAATCAATAAATATAACTTAATAAATATCTGATTATCTATATCCTCATTTATTAAGTATATTGCTATTAAATATATCATTATTTAATCACTAGGTCATGTCTGACTCCTTTTGCAACCCTATGGACTTAAAACTGACTAAATCAAAGTTATATTCATTAAGGTACTGGGATGAAGTCTATTTGGTGCTACTGTTAGAAAACAGAAAGAGGAGGAAAGGATAATCATAAATATTCATGTACTCAGTATCTTAAAAATAAAAATTAGAAAAAATTTATTCTCACAAATTAACAAAAAAATCAAAGAATATTCTAAATACTCCAACTCCTCATATTGTTCAAAATATAAATCATTCCAAAAAAGTTTTAAACTTTAGATAGTTGCAAAAAAATGCCACTCCACAAACAGATGGGAAAAAAAATGGAAACAGTGACACACTTTATTTTCTCGGGCTCCAAAATCACTGCAGTTGGTGAATGAAGCCATGAAATTAAAAGACACTTGCTCCGCCAAAGAAAAGCTAAGACCAACCTAGACAGCATATTATAAAAGCACAAACATCACTTCGCCGACAAATGTCTGTATAGTCAAACCTATGGTTTTTTCAGTAGTCATGTGCAGATATGAGAGCTGGACCATAAAGAAGGCAAAGCGCCAAAGAATCGATGCTTTCAAACTGTGGTGCTGGAGAAGACTCTTGAGAACCCCTTGGACTACACGGAGATCCAACCAGTCCATCCTAAAGGAAATCAACCCTGAATATTCATTGGAAGGACTGATGCTGAAGCTCCTCAAGTACTCTGGCCACTTGATCTAAGAACCGACTCACTGGAAAAGACCCTGATGTTGGCAAAAATTGAGGGCAGGAGCAGAAGGGGATGACATAGGATGAGATGGTTGGAAGGCATCATCGGCTCAATGGACATGGGTCTGAGCAAACTCCAGGAGCTAGTGAAGCACAGGGAAGCTTGCCTGTGCTGCAGTCCACAGGGTCACAAAGAGTTGGACACGACTGAGAGACTGAACACCACATCTATTATATGCCAAAATCCTAAGGAGAAGATACATGCAACACGAGAAATGTAACTCTGACACCACAGATTAATTTTGAATACACACTAAAATCCAACCTTTACCTATGTGACCTTAGGTTCTACCTCTCTTAAGCTCCAGACTCTCATCAAGGAACAGGGGTGATGACACCTGACTCAAGATCTATCTTCCATGATATCTAACATACAGTACTTTTACAATTTTAGTGTAATTCTAACTGCCGGGAGCCAGCACACGAGATCCCACCCATGACAAGGTCACGAGGAGAAGACCTGACAAGCAAGGCAGATCAGGACTTCAGGGATTTCGAAAAGCTGCCCCGGTGCTCACCTTAAAGATGATCTCTGTCTTTCTGATGCTTGCTATATTAGACTACTCCCTAATTTCTGTGACACAGGTAGACGGCCTTCCCCATCTCTCTCCAAACAGAATCAACTTAGAACTTTAATCAACATGTCCCCCAGACGGCGGTATCCTGTAAAATTATCCAGGATGAAAGGAGTGTTTCAATTTAGACCCCTTTGCTGGCATTCTAGCCTGCTTGGCAAATGCATTCTAATGCATATGACTGCTCACAACACCTTAATCATAAACAGCATAAAGAACCTGATCATACAAAAGGCCCTAATAGGCACAGAGCCCTTCGGGGGGTGAGGAAGCCCTATTAGAGAACACAAAAATATTATTCTAAAAGTGGTTATAGTTAAAGATTTAGAAAAATAAGAGTTTAGAATTGTTAATTTTAACCAGGAATGCTAAACAGGGGCTGCCTCACCGGAGCTGCAGAGTCTTTGTGTGGTAAACCTTTTAGATAAATTTAACTGATAACTTCTGCAAAAGGACTGACCTTTGTGTTCAACAAAGAATAGATTACAGAAAACAGCTTTGCATTCACCTAGGTCAAAAAAAGTCAATAGGCCCCAAGGCCAGAAGGTAATGTAACAAGACTCTCACAAACAAGCATGCAGAAAACACCCTGGTTTCGTGAAGGAGGAGCTGATGTAATATTAAACTATCTTCCCCTTAAAAATGTACTAACTTACGAAATAAAAGTTACGGTAAAAAAAAAGATTTGCCAGACTCTGCTGCACACCCCCAGTCTGGTCTCTCTCTCTGTCTCTGTGTCTCTCTCTCGCAGATGCCGTTCATCCTGAGGGTACCCCTGGGATGCCTGCGGGTACCCCTGCGGAGGCTGGACCCCAGCATCTAACAACAGGCTCTCTGCTTACTGACAATAATAAACTCATCTGGTGGTGTCTAAAAACAAAGTGGGTAAATGTTTTGATTATTTTACTATACAGGGTTGCTACAATGAGTATTACCATCAAGAGAAGATATAAACACTATGTCTGGCATATGTTAATGAATGGTAAGAATTACTAATGCTCACTACTTATAACTCTTTTATATAATGCAGGGAAAAAAGACTTTTATAAAAGATAGCTGTGACACCATATATCTGCCAAGGGTTTAACATATGAATAAGCAGGCCTGGAATGGAATTCTAACACACTCCAAAGCATGTTATTTGTACTGGAGACTGGTTTTATAATAATATAAGCACTTTATTTAAAGTGAAAAATAAAATGCATGAGGAAATAATATACTATAGTTAGCAATAAATAAAGATGATTTAAATTCCTAATATCTATGTTATAGCCTAAGCCTAAATTCTAAAACTTCTTGTAGTTTTATATTTTCACCTCTGACTGTGGTGTTATCTTTTCTCTGTCTTGTAGATATACTGATGGATCAGATAGTGTTATCTCTACTGTACCTAGACTTACTAAAGATATTCTATACAAGTACACCATATAACAATTAAATGAATTACCAAATTATTTCATGAGAAAATTGAAAAGTTGTTCAAACATTTTAAATACACTAATATCTAATTTAAGTTATCTATATATTTTCTAATAAAATATGTTTACTAATATTTGGGAAAGGTACAGGATTAACATAGTTTGAAAAGTAAATACCATTGGGGGAATGCACATGAAGTAGTACAAAAACCATCGTAACTTGCCAAGTATTGGTACCAGAGCACAGGAGCAATAAGAGAAATGAATGACACCAAAATAAATTCCTCTGTATGATATTCCTTAAGAGCATTTAACACTTAAAAAATATTAAAAATCTGTCCATACTAATACCAAGATGACTAGATACAGAGTTATAAACATGTTTCTCATTGATTGGAAGTCCCCTACTTCTACTGCCACATCTTACACACCATTAATCTGCACTCACTTCAACAAAACAATGCTTTAAGAAAGGAATTCTTGATTAAAAGTTTCACAGATAAGTTAGAACCACTTACGCATGTGACACAGCTGCCTCTTTGCATTCTCTTATGTCATTAATACGCTTATTATAGCTATGAGCCAAAAAAAAAAAAAGAAGTATGTTAATCTTAATTTGGTCAATAACAGTAAAAACAAGTTAGTCAAATACTAGTCAATTAAAAATGTCTTATTATCAACTGAGAGCCAGAAAAACTGGCTCTCAAACTGGAAATACATGGAAGAAGTCTACCCACATCATTTTGAGCACCTTAAGTACCCCATCAGCTCTTCCTAAAACAATAAATCTCGTATTACATTAAAATTCAGTAATAAAATTAAATTTACAAAGCAGACTTTTATTTTCTTAAATCTCCAATAGGGACACTAAATTATACTTCTAAAATAATTAACAGTGATTTCCAAAAACTGCAAGTCCTGACAAAGCTATTACTTTTGGCTTTTTATGTTACCTCATAAGCATAAAAAAATTTCTCAAGGCACATATACTAGGAACAGAAATTCTGTGGTGGAGAAAAAGAGCAGGAAAGCATTCGATTACTTTAACTTATTTTAAGTGATAGACCTATGGGTGACTTTTACTCACCACTGTTTTAAGAAAGCACATTTTTTTCAAATTAAAAAACATTTAAAATAGAAGACACTGAATGCCAGCATCAGACAGCCTAAAAGTGCCATCTTTTAGATGGCATCTTTTAAACTCTAATAAGGATATGCTAATTTCCTGGCTTCTAAATACATAAAAATTCAAAATTCCTAAAATGTTAAAGAAAAATTATCTTCTTAACCACTTATACCAAGAACCTCAATTTCTAAATTAAGTATGCTAAGATTTGTGTATTCTTCAAGCAAATGTCATAATTCTGTAACCACTGACCTGTATAAATGATGAGTTTTCATATTTATGGTCTGATTTGTTAATTACTATAATTCACTTTTTAAGTTGGATCAATCACTCATGATTTAGTAAAAAATTAAAACTTAATACAGAAATTCTTAAATGGTAAATTTAACACAGAAAAAGCATAACAAAGGAATTTCAAGAGGTCCAGTGGTTAGTACTCGGTACTTTCACTGTGGTGGATCTTGGTTCAATCCCTAGTCTAGGAACTAAGATCCCACAAGTCATGTGGAGTGGCCAGAAAAAAAAAAATGGCATAATGAAAAGACAATTGGTTTCATGAAGCCATTAAATTTATCTGTACCATATTTACCTGACACTCACTCAATATACAGAAACTCTCTGGTTCTAAGTGTTTACATATATTTAAACATAATTCCCCAGAGAGGATGTCAATATGCTAAGGCATAAGTTTCAGGATTTTTGATCTCAATCACTTTGAAAATGACAAAGCTCACAACAACATAAGATATTTCCAGGTACTCCACCATCTAAAATAAAAAGTGAACTAAGAGTTGAAAAATACAGAGGGTGCCGTTTCTCACACTATGGCTGAGAGACTACCTGCATGAGAAGGCCAGAATCACTTATGGTGACAGAAATGAAAAGAGAGACCACCTGTGAAGACTAGGGGAATGGACCAGGGGTAGCAGTACTGACCAGAAAGGCACAAGAGAATTTTCTGGGGATAACGGAAACACTCTGTATCTTGATCTAAGTGGTCACTAGGGGTATTTGTACACAAAATTGTTGAGTTGTTCACTTAACATTTATGCATTTTTCTGTCTGTAAATTTACCTCAATAAACTTGGGGGAGGCGGTGGGAGAAAAGGGCAGATTTCTTTACCTCTCCAAGATATAGATACAGGGGATTTAGGAGGTTAGGGGTGATGCCCAGGAACCTGGATTTTAATTCACATCCCAGGGTACTTCATATGCATACTACAATCTGAGATGGTATACTGGCTTAAACTGTCAGTACTAGACATATCTTTACATTTTAATAACTAATAGATTTTTAAAATCTGAATTTCATTTAGGACATTACTGAATCGGATATGAAATAAATATAGCTGAAGATCACATCCATGAAACTGACAAATCCAACCCAATTATTCAATATTTTTAGCTCCAATAGACCCCAAGAAATTTTAGATACTCCTAATTTCAAAAGATTTTATAAAGGCTACCAAGTGTGAGTTGAACTTGTTTTTATATACTGGCTACAGAGCCAAAAGTGGAAAAAAAAGCAAGCATAAAAATTCCAAGGGACCAAATTTAAGAATTATTTGTGTTATAAGGAATGAGTATAAATGAGTCACTTGGAATACTTCCTCAATATAAGGAAACATGATTTCCTTTTTTCAGTGGTCTGACTTCTGCAATGGCTATAAATAATTAATGAAGTAGTTTTTGACTGATTCATATACTTTTTTAAATGCACTGTATTCTAAAATACATTTCTAAAAACTTCATAACTCCTAAAATGTACACTGTGCTTTCACAGTAATATTTATGTCTAAAACTACATGATACCCAGAAGAGGTATCTTCTTTCTCCCAGAATACAAATTTTGAAACAGCACGAACACTAGATATTTTAGTCTGTGAAGTAACCTGTAAAAAATATCAGGATCATTGTTAAAAACAACTTGGTGTGACTGATAAGCTGGTACAGATTGTATCTTCTTGCATAATGTGACCCTTCTCTATCTCAGAACTTCAATAGATATTCCACTTACTACTTTTCTCCAAAAAAGACAAAATAATTGAAAATGACATACCCTCGAATGTTTACAAATAAGTCTTCTGCAGCTTTATGAATGTGGAAAACTTCATCTCGAAAGAGAGAGAGGCAAGAGCTACTTTGAAGAGCTAGTTTCCAAAGGTTCAGTGCTGTTGCATCAGTATTTAGGATCCCATGGCACAAAATAAAGCCAACTTGAAACAAAAGAAAAAGAAATAAAAAATAAAAGTTTTCCTAAGTTAGGTTATTTGAGTTACAGGGTAGCTTTTTAAAAATAAAGAAACATAAACACAATCACTTAAACTGAGGCTTTTAAGTGACAAGTAATACCTATACATACAAGATGGCAACAATATTTCTCTTTTTCAAAAATAATTTTCTGTACTTTGCAAAACCAGTGATTTGAACTTACACTGATGAAAAGGAAAAAAACGTCACTTCTGGGTTGTGAAGGAACTGACTTTAACAAACGAGTAAAAGATATTTTAAACCAGAGATCAGAAGCTACCAATTTACATATATACAATTATCTTACAGTTGTTACAGTAACTGAAAAAGAAAGCTACTTTTAAGTCATTACAGGAAATGAAATAGCATGTCACAGTTTCATAGCAAATTATAGTTTGTACTAATTTAGTTCTTTCACATATATTATCTCATAAGATTATCGTATAGAGTGGAAAGACCAGTGGTATCCTTCTTTTACAACCGAAGAAATAAGGGTCAATGACTTGCCTAAAGTCACACTAATAAAGTATTAGAACCAGACTTTTCCTCAAATAGTTACCCTTAAAGGCCAATATTCTTTCAATATGTTACACAATTCTCTATTCTATAAATTCAAGTATCTTACCTTTTGTCATCTAATTTAGAAATTCTTCAAAAATGTGTAATCCTGTATGTTTACTGAGGTCTCCCCTGACCCTCTATTCTAGGCCATAAAACCTCATCTTTCATTCCTAGAAAGTGAAAGTTGCTCAGTCCTGTCCAACTCTTTGCGACTCCATGGACTGTCCATGGAATTCTCCACGCCAGAATACTGGAGTGGGTAGACTTTCCTTTCTGCAGGGGATCTTCCCAACCCAGGGAGCAAACCCAGGTCTCCCGCATTGCAGGCGGATTCTTTACCAGCTGAGCCACAAGAGAAGCCCAAGAACACTGGAGTGAGTAGCCTATCCCTTCTCCAGGGGATCTTCCTGACCCAGGAATTGAACTGGGATCTCCTGCATTGCAGGCAGATTCTTTACCAACTGAGCTATGAGGGAAGCCATAAAACCTCATCTTTCATTCCTAGAACATGTACTCAATGCTTATTATAAACTAGGTATCATGCTGGGCCAGTTAAAAACCAATTCTATTTTCTGTAAGATTTCCCTCTGATTTTCAACAGTCATTTCAACCTTTAAACTCCTCAATCACTAACATTTAACTTGCCTTGTATCTTTTATTCTTAATTAAACATTCCTTTTAAAGGGCCACTACACAGGAAAACTAACTCTTTAGGTAGGCAAATATTGTAGAATCATATATACAGATGTACATTTATTAATAACTTCCTTAAAAATACATGAAATATATTAAAATGTTTTTTATACATTTAGGGTCCCTAAATGCAAGTCTAATTATTTGATCTGGTACATAACCAAAGAAGATCTGGTACATAACCAAAGAAACAAAACACCTTTATGGAAATTTTTACAATCCTTAAAAGAAGTCTTGTGAAACTTTTTGCCTCATGCACTGATATTTGATACTCTAATCCCTTTACTAAAATGAGATTTCACTTAGTGTCTTGTACCTCAATGTACACTTAAGACTCATAACACTGCTGTTGATAATAAAAGTTTCTCTGAGAATATTATCAGTATCATTATGGGTCACTGTAAACTTTACTTATGTAAGACATGGGTTATATTATAAAGTATATTCATTTACTATCAGGTCAATAAAAGGTAAATTAATTTAAAATAGGCCAAGATTAGGAGGACAGTCTATTAACTAAACCACACATTAACCTCCTTTCCCCACTAAGTTCTCAGCAAAAAGACAGGAAAAAAAAAATTTTTTTTCAGTCATGAAAATGTAGGAAAATAAGATAGAAAATCAATACTAAACAAGAAGGCTGGAGAAAATCTTTGTACTATCAATTTAAAAAGAGATCTTTCATAAGGAGTCATCTGGGTATAGTCAATTCAGAGTACCGGGATAAGTTACTGTATAAATTACTGTGTTAGCATATATATGGAATTTAGAAAGATGGTAACAATAACCCTATGTGCAAAACAGAAAAAGAGACTCCTATGTATAGAACAGACTTGTGGACTCTGGGAGAAGGCGAGGGTGGGATGTTTCAAGAGAACAGCATTGAAACACGTATATTATCTAGGGGGAAACAGTTCACCAGCCCAGGTTGGTTGCATGGGACAAGTGCTCGGGCCTGGTGCACTGGGAAGACCCAGAGGGATTGGGTGGAGAGGGAGGTGGGAGGGGGGACGGGGATGGGGAATACATGTAAAAAAAAAAAAAGATACACTATGGTTGTGATAAAAAAAAAAAAATAAATTAATTAATTAAAAAAAAAAAATTACTGTGTTAGTCACTCAGTCTTGTCTGACTCTTTACGATCCCATGGACTCCAGCCCACCAGACTCCTCTGTCCATGGAATTCTCCAGGCAAGAATACTGGAGTGAGTAGCCATTCCCTTCTTCAGGGCATCTTCCTGACCCAGGAATCGAACCCGAGTTTCCTGCATTGCAGGCAGATTCTTTACTGTCTGAGCCACCAGGTAAGCTCCAAGTTACTGTGAAATCACATTCAAAAGAGCTGGATCCTCAACATTCCAGACCCTCAACCAGCCCCGTGCTATGTGCTAAGTCACTTCAGTCGTTTTCAGCTCTGCGACTCTGAGGACTGTAGCCCGTCAGACTCCTCTATCCAAGGGATTCTCCAGTCAAGAATACTGGAGTGGGTTGCCATGCTCTCCTTCAGGGGATTTTCCCAGTCCAGGGATTAAACCCCAGTCTCTTATGTCTCCGGCATTAGCAGATGGGTTCTTTACCACTAGCACCACCTGGGAAGCCCCAACAACCCTTGGCCCCAGGCTAGAATCTAGACCAGTGATTCTTAAACTTCAGCTTCCTATCAGAGTCACTGGGAAGGCTCATTAAATCACAGGTTGCTGGGATCCATTCAGAGTTTTTCATCAGAAGTCCTAGGGTGAAAATCAATATTATGCATATCTAATAAGTTCCAAGATGATACTTCTACTCTTTCAACTAATCTACAGTAAAGCTCTAAAGAAAATAGACTATCTTTTATAGAAAGTTCTAGTGCAGGAATTGGTGTCAAAAAGAGAAAAATTAAAAAAAAAAAAAGCGGGGGGAGAGAAGTGCAAAGTTTGATGTAACTCTATTAACTCTACTCAAGGCTCAAATAAATGAAAGCAGCAAAACTGAGTTAACTTTCCTGACTTTTGGCAATTGTGGCTATCCCAAATTAGTTTGCCTTTTCCATGCCCAAGCATCCTCCATTTAGGTATTCTGCCTTCTGACTTAACCTCATGGCTCATTACACAAAGCCTTGCATTCATTACTCCCATTTAAGGTAAGGACCGGGCTTCCCTGGTGGCTCAGATGGTAAAGAATCTGCCTGTAATGCAGGAGACCTCTATTCAACCCCGGGTCGGGAAGATCCCTTGAAGAGGAAATGGCTACCCGCTCCAGTATTCTTGCCTGGAGAATTCCATAGACAGAAGAGCCTGATGGGCTACAGTCCATGGGGTTGCAAAGAGTCAGATAAGACTAACCAACTGACATTTTGAACACTTTCAAGGTAGAGACTGGATGGAAATAGTTCTATTTAACATTAGATGTCACTCAGGCCACCTAACTACTAATCACACTGGTTCTTCATCCATAGATCCATAAACATAAAAAAATCAAGGATCATCATGCTTTTGAGCAAAATCAATACTCCAAAAGCTGTCTTTTTAAATCAACAAAAGCATAAAAACCTAACAATCATTATAGAAGAAAATATAAGGATCACAAACCTGATCAATGTAAAAATTATAATAAAAATGGCTAAGGACAGACAATATGTGTTAAATTCTTTCTCCTTCATACTAATAACTGTATTACTCAAACCGCCAGTGCATAACGAGATCAAGTAGGGAACTGAGAGTATTTAGAAACTTTCATTTAGAAAACTTTTCACTGATAGCAACTTAGGGGTAGAAACCTAGTAACAATCAAATTGTTAGATTAAATATTTAATTGTTAGAGTAATACTTAAATATTGAATCTAATAATCAAAATGTAGGCTTTTATTTCATCTTTGCTTATTACTTTATTTTTGATAATTCCACGAATTCAGTTTCAATGTATTTTATAAAAGCACCAATCCAAAAATCACTAAAAAATAAAAATTGGTCATTCACCAGTTTTAGAAACAGTATAATAAAAAGTCATCAAATAATACCTAAATGTTAATAAATTAAGAAACAAGAGCTATAAGAACTAAAAAGCACAAACTGCTCAAAATTATTCCCCTCTGCCAGTGGACCTGGGGGTAGTAGAAAAAATTATAGCAATTTTCATTTACACTGTATCTGTGTGTCTATTTCTCTCATAGTTTGTGAACTTTGTAGGAGTGCAAACAAGTAATTTTATTTCCCATGCAAACATATAAGATGTCTATTGTATGTACTAAAATAATTTAAAAACAAAAACAACTGGATAAATGCAGCATCAAGAAAATCATTAAAAATAAAATAAAAATTTACTTTTGATGGCCTTGTTGAGGGGCTATATTAATATAATGTAGACCATGAGCCTTGATGGTTCTTTGTCTTTGTCACTTGCTGTGTGGACTAAACTTTAATTCCTCATCTATAAACTAGACCAACCTACTCTAACCAGATCAATATAAGGACTGGATGATGCACATAGAAGGATTAGCACAGTGCTTGCTATTAAAGCAATCCATGTTACTGTTATTTCTCTCTGAAACTTAAAACTGAGGAGTAATCATAAAACTAACCAATTTTACTTACAGATAATCCATTTTTCCATGGCATCCAAAGAGAGATATTCACAAGGCATCTTAAAAAAAAAAAATATAAACTTGTGATTTAAGGAAAAAATTCTGCACTGAGTCACTCCTCTTTCTCTTCCTTCTAAGAAGTCTGACTACTCAATTCTTGGTTCAAATACCACCACAACATAGTCGAAACACTGGATGCAAGTTTTATAACCTATATTTATACCCGTGGTCCATAAAAGACGGTGAAAGCTGTGCCTCTTTCACGTTCCTCTTTCACATTCACACACCCTGAAACTTCTCTTTAAAAAACATGGTTGCTAAATTGGTTTCAATTTAGTAAATAGCTACTTCCAAATTTCCCAAGTTTATTGCAGAGCTTGCAGTATTTTCAAAGGATAAAATTTTATTTAAAAAAAAAAAAATTATGTACCTGGATGCTATTTCACCCAAGTCAGTAATTATGTGTGTTTATTCTCCATATGCATAACATCTATGTTTATATATACAGAAAAAAGACTGAAAAGAAACTTAACAGAATACAATAGTGATTTTCTCTAGTAAGTCTGGAAGACTTGGGGTGATTTTTTTCTTCTCCTAATTTTCTGAATCTTCCAAATTTTCTACCATAAGAAAGCAAAGCAAATTTTTAAGCCTTAAAAGAACTCACACTACTAGTTGTACTCAGCATCAGCATTTAGAAATTTAAAAAATGTGAATGGGAAAAAAAAAGTAAAAGTTAAAAATGTGAATAGTACAACGTAAATAATGAGCATTTTACAATAAACTTCACTGACAGGCTAATACTAATTAGAAGAAAAAGTGCAACAGCACTGCTTAATTGATTTTTTTTTAATCAATTTTACTCTTTTCACTCAAAAAAGAAAGTACAGAACCATACAGTGTCGGATTGTGCGGGATTAAGCATTGTGCTCGGGGCACTGATGAGACTCAACAACTGGGCATTTCTCCACTGGTCAGCTGAAAGGTTCCTTCGAGGATACACCATCTGAAGAGAAATTAGTGCATCTGAAAGAGACTAATTAAAACAGAAAAAAAGAAAGTTGAAGAATGAGGTTTTTTTTACTTTCCATTTAATTTCCAGCTATAAGTGCTATGTGTTTCTAACTGTACCATCATAAAACAAAAGCTTAATTACAAACAGTACCATCATAAAACAAAAGCTTAATTACAAGTATGCTCCATATGACACTTGAGGTGGGTCCCAGTCATGCTCTAGATTTTTTTTGTTTTTAATTTCATGAAAGTTACATAGATTCTACATTCCTCAGCTAAAGCTTAGCTCAGGAAATCATGTTACTTTCTTAAAGGTGAAAATGTATGGCAATCATGTGATCTTTATTTTAAAAAGGGTACAGAGTCTAGCATCATCCTTCTGTGTATCAGTGCTCAGTGAAAGAAAAAGTAGTACTTAAGGTTATATGACTAAGTGTTAACAGAGTTCAACATGTTTCATATTTCTTCAAAGAATGCCTTCTAAAAATGATTCACTGTACTTTATCTTAATAAATTATTTCTATTTGCCATTTAGTCTATTAATGATAAAGTTATCATCAAGGTATTTTTCATCTCATTTGCTTCTTGCTTGCTTTTAACTCTTTTGCTATTCACTCCTGCTTCCTAAAAATTCTGTACAGAGTGGGTCTTTAATCTGGCTATGCATAAATTGCCAGGAGAGTTTGTTCAGAAAAAGAAAATCCAGGGCTCTGCCTGAGCCAGAACCTCTGGGAGTAAAACTGAGGAATTGTTTTATCACTGCACCAGGTGATTTTGAATATTTTTTTACATTAATTTGAACAAATCCTAGTAAATACATAATGGTCTTTCTATTGGGCTTCCCTGGTAGCTCAGTTCGTAAAGAATCCGCCTGCAATGCAGGAGACCTGGATTCAATTCCTGGGTTGGGAAGATCCTCTGGAGAAGGGATAGGCTACTCACTCCAGTATTCTGGCCTGGAGAATTCCATGGACCAAGGGGTCTGGCAGGCTACAGTCCATGGGGTCACAAAGAGTCAGACACAACTGAGCGAGTTTCTATCAACATCAAAGCCTTGAGATATCATAGAATATCAGAAAAATCAAGATTAGGAAAAAACTGGTCTAATCCAAATAGACAATTCTCCTCAAGTAATTATTAACAGTCTAGTATGTGCTAATGGCTATGGAGAACTTAAATAGAGATATAAGAGGTGAAAGTGTTAGTTGCTCAGTTGTGCCTGACACTTTGTGATCCTGTGGACTATAGCCCACTAGGCTCCTCGGTCCATGGAATTCTCTCGGCAAGAATACTGGAGGGGGTATCCACTCCCTTCTCCAAGAGATCTTCCCGATCCAGGGATCAAACCTGGGTCTCCTGCATTGCATGCAAATTCTTTACCATCTGAGCCACCAGGGAAGTCCTAAATAAAGATATAATAGCCTTTAAAATAAATGTGTATCATTTCACTGGGAAAAGAGCCAAATCTGAAGTGGCCAACTAAAAGCAAAGCCGTATCTGATTGGCAAAAAGTTAGAAACAGATCCAGAAAAAAAACAAGAGATGAGCAGCTGAGGAAAAAGCACTAATAAAATCAAAGAGACAGGTGATGATCTGCTTAGCACTGAGAAACCCTGACACTTCCATCTACAATGCTGATTTTTACTTCAAAATTGGTATCATCTACTAGACTCTTTCAATAGACTGTTTCAAGCTAATGGTACAACTAACTCTAAGACATTAAACCTACATAAATTTGTGAGTATAATACAGCTATGCAGAGAAGTTAAACTGGAAACGCATCTTTAGAATTTTCATGAGAGTAAGAAAATTGAAGGACAATTCTTGTTGCTAACTGTATGTCAAAAAAATAAAGCACAGATTCATATAAAACACTGTATTACTAACTCCCATCATTCAAAGGGAACAATGGACCAAGATTCTAATCCTAGACCTTGTTTTGCCCCAAATGCTGCCAAATGGCTTACTTCATCATATCACTTCCAGTCCTCAATTTCCTTATCTTTATGAGGATACCAATAAACTTCCTTGACATGCTAAGGAACTAGCCCTCCCTCAGAGAAGCCATAATGGCAAGAGTCTAAACCAAAATTATTTCATTAAGAACTATTTTTTAATATATCATAAAGGATAAATGTTTAAAATTATCACAACCTCCTGCAATTTTTTCATTACGAGGTTATATTCTAATAACATAATTAAGATTTATCAAATACTATGTGTGGAAACACCTTTCACAAAATAACTCATTTAATACTCATAATAGCCACATAGAGTAGGATTACTATTACTGCATTTTTACAGATAAGAAAACTGAGATACAGTGAAGTTGGTTAAGTAACCTGCCCGATAATACACAGTAACTGTCAGAGTTGGGATTAGAACAAAGCAGTCTGATATGAATCTAGTAGACATTCTCAAATACTAAACTTCACTAACTCTATATCCTATAGAGAACCTAAAAACTACAATAGATCAATATATTCCAGAGTTTCTATTCATGATTCTGGATATAATTAATGATTTCTCTGGTTCACAATTAGATAAAACCATACATAACTATAAATCATATCTCATTAAGATTTTCTTTCTTAGAAGCAGTTTATCACTCTATCCACCCTCAAGCCCCTCATATGCCTATTGAAACACCCCTAGAAACCAGCTCTTACCTTGCTATGGGGCACAAATTCTTCCATCATTTTCTTTAAAGGGTTTTCATAATCCACAATCATCTGACCAAGGCGTGGGTATTCTCGGTCACTTAAAACAGACACATAAACATCACTGAATTGTAAGCCATCAAACTGAGAATTTCACACACATTTCTTTAATGCAGGTATACCTTGCTCCGTGGGTCATCTCATGAGCATAGTTGTATAATCCAATGATTGCCTTCCTTTCTTCAATTCGAGACAGCAGTATCATTAGTGTTGTATATGTTATGATCAAATCTAAGTAGTTCTTTGTTAAATCGAAGTTTACAGTCTAAGAAAAAAAAAATAAGTTCAACTTTTTATTTCACAAACTTTTAAGCACACACAAAAGCATCTTCATGGCAGCTACTGTAAGCTAATAATTTTCTGTAGTTATTTATTATATCCCCATTTCTGAAATTCTAACTAATTCCTTTCACCAAAAACGTCTAAAATTTGGGAGTTACAGATAATAGTTTTGTGTTTGCAACACAATTTTACAAATGAAAAAGGGTTTGTGATCACTCTATTCAAACTGCTAACAATTTAAAAGAATAGCCAAAATCACAATAATAATAAACATGGAAGCAATTCTCACTAAGCAAGAAAAAAGGAGTATTAAATTAATGAATAGGTTCACCATTAAGTCAGCGGAGATGTTTTTCACTGATTTCTTATGTCTAGAAACTGTCTTATTAAGATTTTATCAAGTGTGCCTTTTATAGAGAAAAAATTATTTGCGTAACCTTTTAAAATTGAGCCTATCAAAATAAAATACTAAAATTGATAACTATTTCCCAATATGTGCAAGATTTATACTCAATGACAATCAAATAAGTAAAAACAGAGATACAGTATAACTCCTTACCTTAAAAACTAAAGTCAAATTTAATGCTGAAATTTTATATGCTAATCATACAAAATTATCTCTAAAGAAAAGCATTTGATCCCCTTAGTTCTACTACTAGAAACAGAGAGAAGAATTAGAAATTTTTCTGAAAATTATACGTACAATGTCAAAGAAGACTTGGCAAACATCAATAGTATTCAGCAATTCACAAACATGGTCCTGAAAATAAAAGTTTATTTTAATCTTTTACTTATATGACTACTACTAAATTCAGAAAACACATACTTTATTATCCACAAGTGACAGAACAATTTATACAATTAACAAATATCAATTTATCTCTGAAATGTTAAACTGTATGTATTAAAATACATACCTTAAATTCCATAACATCTACAAACGTGAAGTAATATAACGCCAGATTTTTCAGAATCTCTGATTTTTCTTTCTGCAGTTGTGCAAGCTGTTGCTGTGAAAACAAAATTAGAATGCACTGTTTACCATGAACAAAATTATTAGGTTTAATACAAACTATCTTCTTTTATGATTGCTATATGAAAACACAAGCTTTTAGAACAATATTTCTAGATGATTAAGGCTCTTTTAAAAAACCAAAATACTTGAAACAGCAACTTCTAATAGTGACCAGCAACTGACAGTGTGAGGCTATACAACGAATCAAAGTAGTACCAAACTGCACTACTATTAAGGAAAACTGGAAAGTGTTACGAAAAAAATAACTATCAAATGAACTCTTTAAAAAGAAAATTAAAAGCAACTCATGAGCATGATCACATTACTAAAAGTGGGAGAAAAGAAGGTGAAAGACATTGTAACTTACACTACAAAAAACAATATGCTTTATAAATTTGGAACTTACCAAAAAGAACATCCAGGCAAAGCCACGTTACGCATGCAAAATAAAATGTAGATACAAACATAAAATACAGTAACGGTTCCCTGACCAGATCCACAAAACACAATAATACATTAAAGAAAAGCAAAAATCACAACAACAAAAAAGAAATGAGAAAGAAGCAAAACTAGAGTTAAGACGCATAAACATATGAAGAGGGTAATGTGAATATAAAAGACAAACATTTCAATCAACTGTATTATTACATTTACAGAAGTCCTAAGTTTTCTTTTAAAACAACTATTAATATAATTTCTGATAGAACCCAGCCATATCAGAAATGTAGGTAGTAAACCACAAGTCTGCCAAACTTCAACAAAACCATCTAGAAATATCTGATATTCTGAATGTAGCCTACAGAAAAGAAATGCCCACATCATTTAGAAACTTGTTACAAGAGCAGGATTTCAGGCTCACCCCAAATCAGAATCTGCCATTTATATATATATAAATTTATATATATATATATTATACCTAGGTGATCTGAATGCATGTTAAATGTAATTTACCTAGGACATGAGAAAACTAGAAAATATGAGAAAATGGTTCAAAACATCAAACTTGCTATCAAAGGCCATCCAGTTTTAAGACCCTCCTACAGTTAATACTGACACCTAACACAGGAGAGTTGGGGGAAGAGGTGCCTTGTCTACACATTATGCTAAGTCAGAAAATTCTTAACAGTAAGCATAACATCAGAGGATTAAAAATATACCTATTAAAAGTATTTACAGTAGCAAGCACAGCATTCTGGTAGACCCAACTACTATATAGTACCCTAAATACTGCAGTCCCTGAGGACATTTTAAAAGAAGTATAAACAATACTTCGTTATACTCTACTTCCCCTTAAAACCAGGCAAACTGAGGTATATACTTACAGTGATGTGTGTAGCTGTTCTAGCTTTATCTGTGTTACTAGTTGACTTTATTTTGAGCAATATATCTGTTTCAAAACAATTCTATATTTGTACGCACACTTTTAATCATTACCACTCACATCAGGCAGATACTCATTTTAAAATGATTCTATTCCCTCAGATGATACTACCTTTACCTTGTTCAACAACATTTAACATTTATAATTGATATCTTAATACTTTCCCCTGCTTTTCAGTACTTTAAATTTTAATTTTGAAATGTAACAGGTGAAAGCAAACTAATAATAGGATAAAAAGCAAAAACATAACTTGGTTGCTACTGGGTTTATATTTATAGTGCCTTCTTTCAATTTCAGTGTCTAGTTTGAACAAAAAAATAACAGATCACCATCTTATTATGGGCCCCAATGACCTTTTATACAAATTCTCATTTTGCATATTAAGAAGCTAATGCCCACAGAACTTAAAAGAGTCTTCCCCAAAGTTATACACCCAGTTAACATGAATGGGCCAAGATTAAAATTTCATATCCATATTCCTAATAAAGTGTTCTTCCTACCATTTCACATGGAGGTGGGGGAATTTCACCCCCACCCCCATCTTCCTTTTTAACAGTAAAATCTCATCATGGTCTCAATTTCTCATTCCAATTTATTTCCCCCAAATTGTATATAACTAGCCTCTACTGTATATTGTCACCGTGCTTATTTAACTTACATGCAGAGTACATCATGCAAAATGCCATGCTGGATGAATCACAAGCTGGAATCAAGATGATGGTGGAAATACCAACAACCTCATATATGCAGATGATACTTACTCTAATAGCAGAAAGAGAAGAACTAAAGAGCCTCTTGATGAGGGAGAAAGAGGAGAGTGAAAAAGCTGGCTTAAAGTTCAACATTCAGAAAAGGAAGATCATGGCATCCGGTCCCATCACTTCATGGCAAATATAAGGGGAAAAAGTAGAAACAATGACAGAATTTCTCTTCTTGGGCTCCAAAATCACTGTAAATGGTGACTGCAGCCATGAAATTAAAAGACGCTTGCTTCTGGGAAGGAAAGCTATGACAAACTTAGGCAGAGTATGAAAAAGCAAAGACATCATGTTGCTGACAAAGGTCTGTGTAGTCAAAGCTATGGTCCAGCCCAATGTCTGTATGGACATGAGAGGTGGACCATTAACGAAGGCTGAGTGCCGAAGAACTGATGCTTTCGAATTGTGGTGCTGGAGAAGACTCTTGAGAGTCCTTGGACTGGACCAAGGACTGGTTTGCAAGGAGATCAAACCAGTCAATCCTAAAGGAAATCAGCCCTGAATATTCATTGGAAGGACTGATGCTGAGGTTGAAGCTCCAATACTTTGGCCATCTGATGCGATGAGCCAACTCATTGGAAAAGACCCTGATGCTGGGAAAGATTGAGGGAAGGAGGAGAAGGGGGCGACAGAGGATGAGGTGGCTGGATGGCATCACTGATTCAATGGACATGAGTCTGAGCAAACTCTGAGAGATTCTGAAGGACAAGGAAGCCTGGCATGCTGCAGTCAATGGGGTCGCAAAGAGATGGATATGACTTAGCGACTGAACAACATCAACAAAGTCTCTACACTGGTTAAAACAAATTTACTGAACTAATTATATATGAATTTAAAATAGTTATTCAAGTTTTTAAGGATCTACATACCTTTATCTAAATATACGTTCCAATCTAGATTTCCCCTACATCCATTCACAGACTATACTAAGCAGCTAAAACAAATTATCCACTATTGTGTATAAACGTCTCACATTTTCTCTACTGTTTCCTCTATGGATATGTCCAAATTTCACTACTTACACATGTCCAAATCTCACTACTCCTAAACTACTCAATTTAAATGTTAACCCCATTTTCAAGAAACCATCCCTGACTGAACTGCTTCCCTCAGTGCACCTCCCTCTTCTAAATGTGCACAGTCTCTAATAATTATCCCTTTCTACCTTGCATCACAGTCCTCCCACACTGCGAGGCAGTGTGCCAAACGCCACGATCCGTATCATGCAGCTCTGCACAAAAATATCTAATGTAAACATCTATCAAATGAGTGAGCAGGACAAAGTGAAAAGACCTTTATTTGCTGCATAACTCAGGGAACTCAAAGCAGGCCTCTGTATCAACCACGAAGGGTGGGCTGGAGAGGGGGGCAGAAGTGAGGTTCAAGAGGGAGGGGACATATGTATACCGATGGCTGACTCGTGTTGCTGCTTGGCAGAGACCAACACAATTCTGTAAAGCAATTATCCTTCAATTAAAAAAATAAATTTAAAATTAAAAAGAAAAAGACCTTTATATGTCAGTGTCAGATAATGTTTTAGTAAGTTAACCCTAGCCAGCCCACCTCTTATTGTGGAATCATGGCTAAATAACTTAACCTCTCACTATCTAATATCCTCAATATTAAAATGGGAGCTGATGTGGGCAGTTTAGCCAAGACAATGTACAGGGCAGCCAGAAGCTGTGCATTAATTATTAAGTGAGTAACAGAAGACACACACAGACCACTACTTCAAAATGAGCAAAAATTAAAGCTATTTAAAATAATCTCAACACTACCCACAATACCCTAGTAAGAGCTGATAGTAATTGAGCATGCTGTCTCTCCCAGGTAGTGTTCCAAAAACTGTGCAAGTGTTTCACATGATTCTCTCAACATCTCCATAAAAAGCTACAATTATGTTCCCTATTTAACGAAAATAAATAAATTCCATAAAGTTCTGCATGAAAGTTCAACTATAACAACAAAAATAAAAGTGTCTACAACTCTTGGGCTTCAACTGCAAAAATATTCCATTTTCGTTTTTAAAGTGAAGGAGAACAGACACTACCAAAAAGTGTTTAACTTTTAGGTTCAACATCCAGAACAAGTCCTCTAGCTCCCATCTCATCATTTCATAGTAAATAAAAAGTAGGAAATGGTTTAAGAATATAATCAGGAATAGACGATTAGATGTTACAGAACAGAACACTAGAAAAGTACAATTTTGAGAAGGTAAGATTCTATTTGCTAACACTTTGAAAGCATATCATGGATACATGGGTTAAATATATTAGCAAAATATCTGTACAGTGCTTTCCATAAAGCTTCTGTGGACCATTATTCTTAAAATTCAAAGTAAAAACAAAGTAAGATAAGCCATGCAGATCACAAAATAAGATCATATCTCTTCAGTGAAAAATACTGGTAATTAATCTCTGTACAATGAAAAAGCATTTTCCACACAAAATGTAAGTATCTTAAAAACTGATTGAGGGACTTCCCTGGTGGTGCAGAATCTACCTGCCAATGCAAGTAGATCCCTGGTCTGCAAAGATTCCACATGCCACAGACCAACAAAAGCCCACGCGCCTAGAGCCCGTGCTCTGCAACGAGAGAAGCCCTGAGATAAGAAGCCTGTGCCCCGCAACGAAGACCCAGTGCAACCATAAATAAATAATTTTTTTTAAACTGACTGAAATTTAGTATTTACTAGCTCTCATTCTTTCAGAGAAAAGATACTAGCAAATTACAATAAGGAACCAATGACAAAGAGAGCTAACTCACAGACTTTCAATATAAAGGAAAGTGACAGAAGTCCTTTATTCACCTATGTCAATTATTCTTTCATCATCAAAACTGCTTATGCGTAGTTAA